GAGAGAGAGAGAGCCTGGAAGGAATGGAGAAAGACAGAGAGAAACATCAATGTGAGAGAGACACATCGATGGGTTGCTTCCCATGCACACCCTGACCAGGGCCAGGAATGGAGCCCACAACCAGCATACAACCAAGTTACAGGCCCTTGACCAAACTCGAACCCAGGACCCTTCATTCTGCAGGCTGACACCCTATCCACTGAGCCAAACCGGCTAGGGCTCTCCACCATAACTTTAGCTCGTCAACCTTGCCTGGACAAGAAAGGGAGTCCAGGATATTCCTTGTCCCAACTTCAGGGACCCTCAAGCCCATAAATTGTCCTTGAAAATCCCACTCCCTCCATGCCTGCCTTACGGGCAAACAGCCTGTTCTCCTCCCTGGGGAAGTGGGAGAAGGGACCACAGCTGTCTCCGTTTCCCTCTTGACCTTTTCATCACCTTGATGCGGTGAGGCGCTCCCACGTGAGGGACCGAAGAGCTATGCCACCAGTTCTCGGCCTCCTGCTGCCATTGTGGCCTGGCCCCTTCCTGGGTATACAGCACCTGTGGAGCTGTAGTGCCTCAGATGGCATCTGAGTTTTCAGATTGAGTAAGGGCTATTGAAGACCCCATGAGTGCGCAGTGAGAGAGAGAGCTTTAATTTAGACATGGCAGCCAGGAAAGGCCTTTCCAAGGAGGGAAACTGAAGCGGAAACTTGGTGAAGGAGCAGGAGCAGCCAGGGGAAGGCTAGGAGAGGAGCGCTCCTGGGAAAGGCTCGGCACCGGCAAAGACCCTGAGCTAGGAAAGAGGACACAGAGGCAAAGGGATGAGACATGGGGGCTGAGAGGTGGGCAGCAGCCAACCATGTGTGGCCTCCCAGAGTTTGGATTTTCATACAAGAGCTGCAGAGGCCTTGGGAGGGGAGGGGAGGGGAGGTGTTAATAAACAGGGGAGTGACAAGGTCTGAGTAATATATTTAAAATTTAACTCAGGTTGTTGGGTGGAAATTGGAATTTGGTAGGGGGACTAAGGGAGGGAAGAGGGAGGCTGGAGAGGAGGCTGGGATGAAGGATGGATGGATGGGTGGATGGATGGATAAAATGGACATCTCTCCAGGCCATGGGGACCCCAAGCCCCACGAGAGTAAGTAGTTAGTACTTTGGGGGCTCCCAGGAAGGCAAAGGGATTCCAAGAGTAGGTAGAACTGAAGCCAGGCCACCTTACACAGACCCTGCTTTCTGAATTGGGCCTTGAAGGTCAGTGACATTATTTCAACAGTAATAATAGCCTTCACCATTTACTGAATTATCTGATGTTCCAAGCATTCCACATTGTCTTATGTGACTCTCAGAACGGTTCCATTTTACAGCCGAGGGAAGACAGGCTCGGAGAGAAGTCATCTTCCCACAGCCGCGCAGCTGGCAGCCCAGGAGCGGACGCTGAACCGCGTCTGTGAAACTCCAAAGGCTTCCCCTGCAGGATGGGTTGTCAGGGGGTGGGCGGGGCATTCCAGGAAGAGGACACAGCACCGTCACAGGCCTGGGAGCCTGGAAGGGGCGAGGCCGGGATAAAGAGGCCCTCAGCAGTTTGAAGGGAACTGGGCAATATTGAAGGCACGTCCGTGGCAACCCGTGGATTCCAAAACGTGCCATGCCCACAGAGGCACAGTCATGCTTGCTGATCCCAGAGAATGCATGGGACCGAGGGGCAGGAAGCAGGAGCTGATGCGGCCCAGGCCCTGGCACCGAGCTCGGGCCTTCCACAGAGAGGCATTGTGCATAGGCAGCGGGCATGGCCAGGTGGGAAGCCCAGGAGGGGCTGCTTGCCTCTCTGGAGATGTGCCCAAGGGATGTGAAGGTCCCCCTCAGCAGGCTTCACTTCAGGAGCTGGAGGTCTTCGGTGCCTTTGCAAACACAGCGATGGTGCCCCGGGTCCAGGTGCCTGCCGTGTGTCCCAGCCCCCGGCCCACCCTTCATGGCAGCCCAAGATTTTCTCCAAACCTCAGGAAGCTAGAGTCCTGGGACTGCTCCGGGCAAAGATATGGTTCAACAGAAGCCACAAATATTTTCCTTGGACACCTTGGCCCCGTCTGAGGCCTCAGCCCAAACGCAAAGGGTGACTGCTTAGCCCAGGGTATGCAGGATATAAGGCTGGGCTTTCAGACTCACTGCCCAGGTGAGGAGGAGGCTGAGGACTCCAGAGTGTCCAGGTAAAAGTGTGGGGAAGGGACGAAAGCCTAGGATTCCAGGGGGGTTCTTAGCTGAAGGCACCTGGTGGGATCAGGTCAGAAGCAGGAGGGAGTCTTGGTCCCCAGGTAAGGTCCCTCTGTCAACTAGGACCCTCTGAGGGGGTAGAGAGGTGCCCAGCTCCCTTACCCAGAAGACCAGAGGATGGTCCTGAGGAATAAGAATGGCTGATTCTCCCTGGCTTCATCCAGATGACATAGCCCATTCTGCACACACCAATTGCTCGGTGTCCAGCTCTGGGCTGGGGTGATACTGGAGACAAGAAGTATCAGACAGTCCTGGCCCTCCTAATATAGGCCAATGCAGTATGTGCTGTGCTCAAGGAAATCCCAGGGGTATGGTGGTGGAGGGCAATCAGGGAAGGCTTCCAGGAAGAGGTGACATGTCAGGTGAGAAGTGAGTAGAAGTTGGTTGGACAAGGGACAGAAAGGCATCCCATGCGAAGGAACCACATAAGCAAATGCCAGGAGGTGAGATATGATGTGGTGTGTGTGTGTGTGTGTGTGTGTGTGTGTGTGTGGTGCTAGGATTTAGGGAGGAGACACTTTTCCACAAATACAGATACTACCATCGTATTGGTTCTCTGAGTGTCTCCAATCAGAGGACAGAATAACGTGCAGATAATGACAGAAACTTCCTGGCAAAAGAGCAGAGTGGAAGGCATCATATCTGTTTTCTCACTTTAAGTGCAAGGTGATTCTTTCTGAGTATAGGATTAGTAATAACTAATAATAACAGCTAATATTCATTGAGCTCTTATAGCATGCCAGGCCACAAATGGATGATTTCATTTAATCCCCCCAACAACCTTGTGATGTAAGTATTATTAGTATCCCTTATTTTATAGATGAGAAAACTGAGACTCAGAGAGGCTAAGTCCCTTGCCCAAGGTCACACAGCAAGTGGTAGAGGCAGTCCACCAACTCAGGTCTGGCTGACTCTGATGCCCATATTTCTCCTCAACCCTAGGCTTCCTGGCACACAGGGATGGGGGGTCCTATGACTTAACAGGGGACCCTGTGACTTAACTAGACCAGTGGTCGGCAAACTGCGGCTCGCGAGCCACATGCGGCTCTTTGGCCCCTTGAGTTTTTAGCAAAGGCCAGCTTAGGAGTACTCTAATTACGTTGACAACAATGTACCTACCTATAGAGTTTAAGTTTAAAAAATTTGGCTCTCAAAAGAAATTTCAGTTGTTGTACTGTTGATATTTGGCTCTGTGGACTAATGAGTTGTCCTAGTGGACTAACCACTGGCCTAGACGTTGTCAGTTTAGCAGGCTTAGATTCCCCATTCTTCCAGGGCTCCCAAAGGCCATTCATTCATTCATTCAGCAACCATTCGTTTATTAAACACCCACTGTGTGCCAAGCACTGTGCTGGGCTGGGGACACAGTGGGGAGCAGGCAGAGCAATGCTCCCTCCCGGAGCTCACGGCCTGGTCAGGGAGGCAGGTGTTGAATCATCATGGCAAGTGTCTCTAAGAGCGCACACTATTCCCAGTCACTCCACTAAGCAGCAGCCTCTGCTGGAATCCATGCCCAAGTCACCAGGCCTGGAGGACCTGCCCATGGCCTCTCTGCCTGGCTAACAGGGCCCTTCATGCTCACCCCAGCTTCTCTCGTCTGCCACCTGCTGCTCCCTGGCTCCCAGGAAGATGGCCGGTTCAAGGACCTTCACCCTCCTCTGTGGTTTGCTGGCAGCCACCTTGGTCGGAGCCACCCTCAGTCCTCCTGCAGTGCTCCTCCTCGGCCCAGAAATCATCAAAGACAGTAAGTCTTGGCCGCCCAGGCTCCAGCACCATCGGGCAATGGGGCAGGGGAGGAGGGGGGGCCTGCCCATGACTGGGGGTGTGCAAGACACAGTTGGGACCCAGGTCTAGATGAGATTCAAGTGGGTAAATTATAAAGGTTGCAAGTGTCTGTGATCCCAAGAGTCCATGATTCCAAGAAAAACCCTTTTTAAAAGCCATGATTCCAAAACTGACTACTCTGAGGTTCCTGCAGAATGGGGGTGGCCTGGGTGTGAGGATGCAATTGCCCTCCCCTACAACCAGAGGACTGGCAAAGCACCTCCTCAGAGTCTGAGGCAGTGGCCCACCAGTCCGCAGAGGGAAGACCCTCGGGTGGAAACCTGGCTGCCTGGATCCAGGCACAGCTTTCTCCCCCTCCAGCTCCCCGGCCCGGGAGCCCTCCTGAGCCTGGGCCTTGTCCTTTGGAAACAAACAGAAGGCCACTGGGGCACAGGGGGCACACGTACACCTGAGTCATCCTGCCCAGGGGTGAGGGAGCGGGTGTTTATACAGCCCTGGTTGGTCAGTCACTGGGCGAGGGCTCCTTCCCCAGCATCAGGTCTCCTGCACCTCTGACCTGCTCTGCTCACAAGCCAAGTGGGACAGAGCCCAGGGCTCCTGGCTCCCAGAGCCCTGGCCTGACTCCTCCTTTCTCTGCTCAGCACTTGATACGCTTTGGACAGCAGACCCATAGGATGTGGATGCCAGAGAATTGTGTTTTAGGCAACAAAACAGCCCTAAACAGGGCCTTATGAGTTCCCAGCCTCATGGCTCCAGGAGTGGGAGGGATGCAGAGGCTGGAAATGCTCAGGGGGGTAAATGGTCCATCCACGCCCCAGCCTCCCCCATCTGGGCCACATCTATGGTAGAGGGGGCCAGGATGGAACCATCCATACCCTCACCTGTGTCCAGGCCCGAGTAGTCCTGAGTGATGATCTCTCCCAGCCTGGAGCCCTGCCTTGCCCCTCCTGCTGGGCTCTAACCCTTAGAATCTGTCTCCAGAGCTGGCCCAGAAGCTGAGGGACCACGATGCTCTCCGCATCCTCCAGGAGCTGCCTCTGCTCAGCGCCATACGGGACGAGCCGGCCGGGGGCATCCCCCTCATAGGCAGCCTGGTGAACTCTGTCCTGAACCACATCATCTGGTAAGCTGGGAACTCCCTGCCCACGCTTCTGCCCGGGACACACTTTGCACGTTTAATTGGTCAGTCAATAAGCATCAATTGGTATCAAATCTCTGTCTGACCACAAAGAATGAAACAAATGAAGTCCCTTCCTCAGAAGCTCCCAGAGGAGTTAATAACCCATAAGAGAGTCACACGGGAGCCTGACAAGGTGACTCCAGAGGAAGGTCACTGGGGTGAGAGGACGAAAGTGATGCTTCTAAGTCTCGGTGACAGGTGGGCCATTGACTCTATGTTCACCAGGAGACAAGAAGAAAAGGGTATTCCAGGCAGAGGGGCCAGCCTGGGCAACGGCCTAGAGCACATGTGTCAAACACAAGGCCCGCGGGCCAAATCCGTCCCGCCAGGCCTTGCAATGTGGCCCGCACCGCGCTGTCATCACTGCACTCCGCTGCGTTTCCATCACAATGACAGTTTATGACTGTTCAGTAAACCATTCGGCCCGCGATTTAGGCTGGATTTTAGATTTTGGCCCCTTCTCTGATTGAGTTCGACACCCCTAGCCTAGAGGGTGAGAGAGCCGGTCAGAATAGATGTTGTGGGATTCATCTCTTCAGTAATGGGGGAGCCAGGGAAGTGTTGAGAGCAGGAGCAAGGCAGGGGGGCTGGCAAGACCATGCTGGGGAAGAACCAGTGGATAGGGCTTGGGGCCAGCGGCTGGCTGGGCACCAGGGGAGACAGAGATTGAGGGGAACAAGTTTGTGGCCAATGCTCAGGTGAATCCCATCTCTCCTGCATCCATCCAGGCTGAAAATCACCTCAGCCAACATCCAGGAGCTGCAGGTGCAACCCTCTGCTGACAGCCAGGAGCTGATCGTCAATATCCCACTGGACCTGGTGGCTGGCTTCAACACGTGAGTATCCCCTTGATCAGGCATAGCAAGCAGATTCACCCACTCATCCCCCCTTTTCCACTTTGCAGGTATCTGGAAAAGAGCAAGTGCAAAGGCTATGAGGCAAGAGTACACTTGCTTTGTTCAAAGAATGGCAAAGAGGGGTGGGTAGGAGAGAGGAGAGTCATGGGAGGTGAGGCCAGCAGGCAGCCAAGGTCAGATCATGCAGTGCCTCTTGGATCAAGGTGAGGACTGGGCCTCTCCTGAGTGAGATGGAAGCCAGGGAGGGTTCTGAGCAGAGAGAAACATGGCATGCTTAATATTTTTAAAGAATCCTTCTGGTAGTTGTATATGGAGGCAAGAGCAGAGGCAGGCCATCCAGAAACTACTGAAGTAATTCAGAGGGAGACCAGGATAGCTTGGACCGGAGTTTGGGGGCAGGAAGGTGGCGAGAAGTGGTCAGGTTCTGTATACATTTTGGAGGCAGGTGCAGACAACAGGATTTCCTGGTGATTGAATGCGGGTGGAAGAGGAGGACAGAGATTTAGGAGTCAAGGCTGAGTCCAGGGTTTTTGCCTGAGCAACTGGCAGGATGGTGTGGCCAGCAACCAAGACCGGGAAGATCGTTGAGAGGAGCAGGTTTGGGCAGGATCCGCAGTTCAATTTTGTGCATGCTAAATGTGAGATGCCTGTAAGACACCTGAGTAAGGAGTTGGGTATAAATTTGGGAGCTGTTTTAGAATTTAAACCAGGAGAGGAATAAAAAAAACAGAGCCTGGGACATGCTGGATTAAAAATAATAAAAATGTGGGCTGGTGAGGAGGAGGGATGCGAGGGAAAGGGGGACGAGGAGAGGGGGGAGGAGAACCCAGCACAAGAGCCTGAGAAGAGAGGTGAGAGCCAGAGGGCAGAAAGGGGCAGCAGGCTCACTCCAGTGGAGCTGGGTGTGCTCACAGCATGGGGCACTGTCACCCCCAGGCCCCTGGTCAAGAGCATCGTGGAGATTCACATGGAGACAGAGGCCCAGGCCACCATCCGCGTGGAGAACGGCAAGAAGGGCCTTGCCCTCAGCAGCTGCACCAACAGCGGCAGGAGCCTGCGCATCAGCCTGCTGAAGAAGTGAGTGTGGGCCCTCCCGCTGGGCTCCCGCCCTGCCTGGAGGGAAGCCTCATTTCACAGATGGGAAGCACTGATGCCCAGAGATTGAAAGGGACCAGCCCTCCTGACTCTTGCTCTGGGGCTCCTTGCAGAGAAGCTGTGACGGTGGGATGTTAGCCATCCTGCCAGGCACTGGGGCAAACTTTTAAAGGTGGAGAGGAGCCACCTACCTAGGGCCCCTCAAATTCCCCACCCCACCCCCCAGGCAGGCTAGGGTAGAGCTAGGGGTAAAACCCTGCTCTGGCATCAAGCAAATACTTCTCCTCATCCTATATAAGAAAAGCCTAATATGCAAATCTACCAAATGGCAAAATGACCGGTGGAACAACAGGTCATTATGATGCACATTGACCACCAGGGGGCAGACGCTCAATGAAGGAGCTGCCCCCAGCCCACAGGCCCCAGGCCAACCAAGGTGGGTGCCAATGCCCCCCCCCCCCAATCATCCCACTGGTCCCCCCACAAATGGGGCCTGATTGCCGGCCAGGCCTAGGGACCCTACTTGTGCACAAATTTTGTGCACCGGGCCTCTAGTGTACTATATGGGTGATGCTGGGCTTGCCTCCCTATGCCTCAAGCTGCAGGGAGAGGTTAGCTCAGGCCACAGCTGTAACTAACTCAGCACAGAAGAGTATGGGGCACACAGCAGGGGCTCAAAACTGCAGTGTTTCCCTCGACTTCCCTTAGCAGGAGAATGGGGAGAAATGCCAACTGCCATCGTCCCAGTGTCCAGCACACATTACTAGGATAACCCCCAGCCCCTGCTCCCTGAGAACTCTCTGCTCAGTAGACAGGGTCTACTCCTAGCCCTGTCTCCAGCAGGCCCAGGAAGCTTGGGCAAGTTCCTTTCCCCCCTGGACTCAGTCTCCCCTTCTGTAAGACAAGGGAGGGGTGATCCTCTCTGACCTTCCCTAAGCTCTCTCCCTTTCTTCTCTCCGGAAGGATCTCTTTCATGGCCAACCCCTTAGCCAACGGTGTCATGAAACTCCTGGTGCCAGCCCTGCCCAAACTGGTGAATACCAAGGTGAGTGGAATCGGGCCTCATGGGCCTGTAAAGATTGCTCCCCCTGAAGGGCTGGGCTGGAACTGCAGGCTTGTGTGAAGGGACCTTGAGTAGGAAACTGAGTCTGCATCACTCTTTCAGCAATGAATCCTTGAGGTCAAGATAATAGAACTGCCGAAAGTCAGCCAGGAGACTTTGGACAGGGATGTGCTGATAAATCGTTAACTATTCACTCTGGAGAGTTGATGGGGAGAGCCCAGATGTGTATGTAGTATCTGCTGTTTTCCCTGATATAAACCACTCCCTTCAAGGCCAAGATCAAGCTACGAATGTGATGTCACAGAGCAGAGTTGGGAAGAAGTGTGCCATAGCACACCGCTGTTTGGTATTCCCACCACACGGATGCAATAGACCTAAATGCCCTCAAGAGCAAGAAATAATAGTAAGATATAACAGAACAATTAGTGAGATTTAACAAAATAATTAGGAAGTAATGAGTTTTGAGGTTTCATTAACTTTGCTTTTAGTATAATTTATTTAGTTGTAAGTTTATATACTTTAATTTTTAATGATGCCTCAGCTTGGCACCGGCTCAGAAACTCCTGAAAATTTAACAAGTTGTCCTCACAAACCAGCACAAGCCGGCTGTAGTACCCTAGTGTCTCAAACCAACCAGCAGTCTTCAGGGCTCTGTCATCCGCCGGGTCCTGCTGGATTTATTTTTCTGAGTCAGTAAACACAGTCGGTCTCCTTTTATATGTCCCTTACATGCCCCAGGTAAATTAAAAGTCTGTAAGTTGGTTCACCCACTTTGGCAATGGATTCCTATAAATTCCAAGATAGGTTCACAACAATGGGCCTCCGGAGGATCCAAATACCTTGTCACATAACTAATAAGTTCTTTATAATAAAACTTTTTGGAAGAAAAAGAGGGTGTAATAATTAAGCCACGTTAGGGGGGAAATACCCATAATGCTTCTGCCTTGGCAGCTACTTTCTCTTTTGTATATTGCACTCAAATGTTTATGTGGCTGCACTTGGTGTCAGTACTACTTTGTATTATTTAAGTGATATATATTTTCTATGCCGTTGTACACTATTCACAATTATGTAATAGCTACATCACATTTAATACTTTATTAAACCATTCCAGAGAGCCTTCTTAAAGGAATCTGAAAGTAATTTTGTAAAATTTGGCTTTTCTTACATGAGATCATTTTTCTTTTAAGAAAGTTTTCTTTTTCCTATTTAAAAATGGGTGTTTCTTTTTCTTTCTTTCTTTCTTTTTTCTTTTTGTTTTATAAATTTTTATTGTTCATATTATTACAAATGTTCCTTTCCCCCCTCCCCTCCATTGCCCTCCTCCATCAGGTGCCCACCCTACCCTCTGCCCTTTCCCCACCCCTCATTGTCCTCATCCATAGGTGCAGTTTATGTTCAGTCTCTTCCCACATCTCCCTCTCCCCTTTTCCCCAAGAATGGTCAGTTCACTCCCCTTCCATACCTCTGATTCTATTATGTTCAACAGTTAATATTGTTCATCAGATTTTTTTTTAATTTCCTTGGTTTTTAGAATCACTTGTTGATAGTTACGTATTTGTTGTTCATAATTTTTATCTTTATTTACTTTCTCTTCTGAAAGAACCCCCTTCAGTAATTCATATAATTCTGGTTTGGTGGTGATGAACTCCTTTAGCTTTTTTTTAATTAGTGAAGCTCTTTATCTGACCTTCGATTCTGAGTGATAGCTTTGCTGGATAGATTATCTTTGGCTGTAGGTTCTTACTATTCATCACCTTGAATATTTCTTGCCATTCCCATCTGGCCTGCATGGTTTCTGTTGAGAAATCAGCTGACAATCGTATAGGTGCTCCTTTATAGGTAACTACCTGCTTTGCTCTTGCTGCTTTTAATATTCTCTCTTTGTCTTTTGCTCTTGGAATTTTAATTATGATGTATCTTGGTGTGGTCCTCTTTGGATTCCTTTTGTTTGGAGTTCTTTGTGCTTCCTGGACTTGTAAGTCTAATTCTTTCACCAGGTAGGGGAAGTTTTCTGTCACTATTTCTTTCAGTATGTTTTCGATATCTTGCTCTCTCTCATCTTCTGGGACCCCCATAATTCTGATGTTGGTTTGCGTGAAGTTGTCCCAGAGGTTTCTTACATTATCTTCAATTTTCTGGAATCTCTTGCCTTCTAGTTTCTGTGGAGGAGTGTCTTCTGGCTCTTTATGTTCCAACTCTTTGACTTGATTCTTGCAATCTTCCATTCTGTTTTTAGGACTCTGTATAATATTTTTTATTTCAGTCAATGTATTCTTTATTTCTTGTTGATTCCTTATTAATTCTAGTTGATCCCTTTTCATATCCTCATAAGTCTTATTGATCTTTTCTAGGAAATTCTTGAAAAACCTTATAAGCGTAGATTTGAACTCTATATCCAGTTGCTTTTTGTCCTCCATTTCTTTCGTTTGTGATCTATTTCATCTCAGCATTTTCGCAGCTTTCCTGAGTTGGTAGCCTTAAAAGTCTCTGTGTTCTGCTTGGATGGGGCGAGGTTTTAGGGTGGAGCCTACAGCTTTGGCTTCCGTCAGTCCCGCCCTATGCGGGTCCTTCAGTACTCATTGCAAGCTCCTCTGATAGAGAGGTGCCCTCGATTTTCGCCTGCTGCCAAACAGTCTAGGCCACATGTGTCAAACACAAGGCCCGCAGGCCAAATCCATCCCGCCAGGCCTTGCAATGTGGCCCGCACCGCGCTGTCATCACTGCACTCCGCTGCGTTTCCATCACAATGACAGTTTATGACTGTTCAGTAAACCATTTGGCCCGCGATTTAGGCTGGATTTTAGATTTTGGCCCCTTCTCTGATTGAGTTCGACACCCCTAGTCTAGGGTCTCCCCCAATGAGCCCGATATTGGGGTTCAGTTCAGTTGGAAGTGGAGTTGGAGGTGGCGTTCAGAGCAGTCTGGAGCCCCTGTCTCCTTCCCGCCAGGGCAATCCCGCGGCACAGCCAACTGTCCCTTCTCTGCGAGCAATGTGCGCCCCTCCGGGACCTCCTTTCGCCGCTCCCCTGGGGTTCTGCCTTGCAGCCCAGCTCCCTATGGATGAGCCTGGGTCCCCGGGGTCTGGCCTAGAACTGGGGTTCAGAGTAGGCGGATCTGGGGCCCAGCACAGTCGGATCTTTTATCTCCTTCCAGCTAGGGAATGCCAGCCAGGCACTCAGCCTCCCTCCTCTCTGGCTCCGTCCTCTCCGCGCGCACTGCTGTCTCCGTACCTTAGGCTTTTACAGCTCCTCCGCGCTTCCTTCTGGTTTTCTCCTTGCTTCTCGTTGTAGAATTTCCAGTCAGTCGACTTTCCTGTAGTTCTGGGTAATGTCCATTTTATATTTTAGTTGTATTTTATTGAAATTGTTGTGTGCGGCTGCGGCTAGGTGTTTACCTGTCAGCCATCTTGTAACGACTCCCTTTTTTCTTTTTTAAGTGGGAGTTTCTTAAAGTAGGATCCTGGACATTTTTTGCCAGCCTTCCCCAAAACCATTCTTAAATTGGCATCCCACTTTAACTGCTTAAAATGTGTTTTTACATTTTCAACATTTTACATTTACTAGAAAAAAAATGGCAAGGACTTGGGATTACAAAATGCTCTTTGGGTAAGATCTGTTTTTAAGGGTAAAGAGCCACACTAGTGAAAAATATGAGACAACCGGCTGTCTAGTAATCATGTTTTCCCATCATGCCTCACTGGAGTGGATATAATGGTCATATAAATATTTTACTTGATGTGAAGGGGAAAGGCATGGTATGTTGAAATCTGGCAGGAGCCCATCTAGAAGTATGTGGGTCCCATCAGTAGTGCCCTCCTTAACCAGGGTTTCAATTTCCAAAGTTTGTTACCCATGGTCCACTGGTCCAAAAATATTCAACGAAAAATTCCAGAAATAATCATACGTTTAAAATGATGCACTGTTCTGAGAATCGTGATAAAATCTGGAGCTGTTCTGCTCTGTCCTAGCCCGGAGGTGAATCACCCCTTTGTCCCACACCCCCATGCCACATTGACTCCCCGCTGTTTGGTCATTCATAATCCTCTTGGCTGTCAGGTAGATTGCCCTGGTATCATAGTGCTTGTGTTCCGATAACCCTTATTTTACTTACGTATGGCCACAAAGTGCAAAAGTAGTGATCCTGACAATCCAGATGTGAAAGAATGTATAAATGGGAACAAACACAGTATATCTAGGGTTGGGTACCATCTGTGGTTTCGGGCATCCATTGGTGGGGGTCTTAGGATGTATCCTCTGTGGATTAGGAGGGATGCTATACTGCTACCCAGGATCTACTTAGAGATTCAGATTTCATTGGTCTGGGTTGGGCCTTAGTATCCCAGAGGATTCTGGCTCGTATCCTGGAGGATTCTAATGTGTGAGCAGAGTTGACAGCACTAGTGAAACTGAAGGAAGAGGAACTCTGGGGTAAGATGAAAAGGTTGCCAGGGACACCTTTCCCATGAGAAACAGGTGGTGCCTTGGCAGTGAAGTCTGGGGGTCTCTGAACCCGAGTCCTCCATCCTCCATCTTCCTGGGTTCTGGGTTGGCAGAGCAGCTAAGAGCAGAAAATGGGTTTTTCATAGAAAAAGTTGACATTTCTCAAAGTGCAATTCCTTTCTTGGGAGACAGCAATGGGTGGTCAGCCAACAGGTTCTTCCGCTGTGGAAACTGCACCTGAGACAAAACCTGGGGTGCCTGAAAACGGGCTGCTAGAGCAGAGCAGGAGCTCCTTTGGGGCACACGGGCAGGTAGATGTTTATCCCCGTCTTGAACAGAGCAGATAAGGCCAGGATTGGGTGAGGCCAGGGTTTCCCACCCTTGGCACGACTGACATTTAAACCAGATCATTCTTTGTTGTGGGGAGCTGTCCTGGGCACTGTGGTGGCCTCTATCCACCAGACGCCAACAACATCACCTCCCTATTTGTGACAACTAAAAATGTCTCCAGAAATTTCCAGACGTCTTCTGGGGGACATCTGGAAATTGCTCCCTGATGAGAACTGCTGGCAAATTTGAGGGGTGGCTAGAAACCCACAAAGGACACAGAGATTCTTCTCCTGTCTGCTTCGGTCTGTCCTGCTGGCCTCTGTGCTGAGTCTGGGATGCAGGAGGAATACGTGAATGAGGGAACGGCCTCTCCATCTCCCTCTCATGGAAAACATGGGCTCTTGGGAACAAGATGGAAACCAAAGGTCCCAGGTTCACCGGCGTCTGAAGTGGGGTGCCCTGAGCAGCAGAGTTGGCTGGGGGACTAGATTGCCCCTGAGTTCTCTACCCCACGGACAAAGTCCCGGCTGGCCGTGAGCACAGCGGTGGGACTGAGGCCACGGGCTGGGCCCGGGTCACGAGGGACCCCCTTGCTGATGAAGCTCCGCTTTGGTGCTGTTGCAGCTGTGCCCGGTGATCGAGGCGGCCTTTGAAGACATGCGGGAGGAGCTCCTGCGCCTGGTGAAGGGTGAGTGCGCCGCTCTCTCCCAGCTTTGTTCTTTTCTGCTGCGCCAGCCTCCGGGCTGCAGCTCTGGAGGGGGCGCCTCCCCAGTCTGGCCTGAGCAGCCCCTGGGAAGAGCACCAGTTGATCCCTGCCCGGGAGGAGCAGACAGGAATTCACAGCTCTGAGCTCACCAGTACCTGCTATAGGCAGGTTTCCACATGAGCCCGCCGGTCACCCCAAAGAAATCTGAGTTCAAATGCCCCCTCTACCATTGACTTGTCTCGTGACATGGGAAGCCAGCTCCACCTCCTTATCCTCAGCTTCCTCATCTGTAAAATGGAACTTATACATTCCTCCTTCCGGATTGTTAGTGAGGATTAAAAGTTTATAGGAAAGTTCCAGGCACATAGCAGAGAGAAACTTATTCAAATGTGTGCTGAATGGATGCATAAATGAATGATACAGCAAAGACTGTGGGCTTAGAGAAAAGACCAGATGTATGCTCAGGAGGGTTATTTCTCCCTTCCTGAGGTAGCAGAAATGGCGGTCACAGGCTCCTACCCCCACCTCAAGTGTCTGCTGTGCTCAAGTGCCTCAGAGCAGGGATGGAAAGGAAGGAGACAATTCTATTGTCTACTGCTTGGCGGTCTGAAGTGGCTCGTACAGAGGGGCCATCAGAGAGGAGTGGGAAGAGAACAGAATCAGTAGCATTGAGCACCCATAGAGCAAATACTGTGCTTGGTGTTTCATATGATCATTACCCCACTTCACAGATCAGCAAACTGAGGCACAGAGAAATTACGTCAGTTATTCGAGTTCACAGAAGTTAGTGGTAGGGAAGGCTTAGATCCAGTTCTTCAAATTTCAGGTGTGATGTAATTCAGATTCAAGCCAACTTTATTAGGCACCCGTCTTGTACAACCCATGAGGCCAGCATTACTGCATTACACCCCCACTTTGAAATGAGTGAACTGAGATGGAGGAGGGAGAAATTGCCTAAGGCTACGGTGGCTAGGACGGAAGTCTATCTGGCTCCTCTGCTCCCCAGGAGTAGGGCAGGCTTGAAGGTGCAGGGAGGGAGGGAGGGTGTAAGTGCTCCTATGGCCTACTCCCTGCCCCGCCCACCCCTGAGCCCCCTCCGCTAACCTTCCCATTCTCCGCCCAACAGCGAAGGCAGCTGAGACACCTCCGCCCCCTCGCGGCCAAGTAGGGAATCCCAAGGAGAATACGTTTGATCCAGTGAACAAACAGATCCAGACCTGCCTGGATAGGATTAGTCTGGTGGGGAGGTGGAGAGTTACAAGCAATAGGTCAGCTTTGTTCACACCAGGACCTTGACATAGGATCCCTGGGTCCAAATCTTTTCTCAGTATGAGCAAATCCCTTCACTTTCCTGAGCCTCCATTTTCCCATTTGTAAAATGGGGGTAATAGCAGCACCTACTGCCCCCTAAGGTTCTTGTGAGGATTAAATGAGCCAACACATATAAAGGTTTAACACAATTCAGCACTCAGTACATGTTTAATAAATGTCAGTTATTATCATTTTCATCATCATCATCAACATCATCATTACTCCTGCTCCTCTCTAGTGACCCCTCCCCCTGCAATAACGCAGCTCCAGCCAAAAGCAGCCCCCACGCAGCCCGTCCCATCCCGCCCCTCACCCTCACACAGCTTTGTTCTCGTCTCTGAGCAGCGCCTGTTGCCATGAGCAGTGACCATCTGGAGTTTGACCTTCTGTCCTCTGCCATCAATGACAACATCGTCCGGCTCAACCTGGGGGTGAGTGTCATGGACCCTGAGAGTGAGGTGTGGACATCACTGCCTTCCCTGACCCCCCAGGGTCAGACACCCGGGGTCTGTTCCAGGGGAGAAAACCCTGGTCCCGGTTAAGACGCACAGGCTGGATTTAGAAAAGTCTCACTCTGCTGAACATGTCCCACGCAAACCATTGTGATGGAGCAAACACGGCAGGCAGGATCCAAGGGCCCAGCACAGAGCATCGATCCTGGCGATCTGTCCTCCGACCCTCCCTCCCCGGTCCCAGGCCAGCGTGTTTGCCCTGGGGCTCTTGGCCTTTTTCTCAGGCAAGCCCCCGCCAGTCCCCACACATCTGATTACCTCACAACGGGAGCCCAGGATCAAAACACACAGGCCTACCTTTCTCTCCCAGCTCCACCAGTCCCTGGCTGAGGGGCTGTGGGCAAGTTTCTTCCCCTCCTTAAGCCTCAGCTTCCTCACTTGTAAGATGTCAGTAATCAGAGTCCCCAAGGACGGAGGAGAGAGTGAAATGCGGCTGAAGACGGGCAGGCAGGAAGATCCTGGTAAAGGGAGCTGCATACACCCTGGAGCTCGACTCCCGAAGGGACCACACCAACGCGAGCAGCTTGCATCCCAGACCAGTTCTCACGGATCCCTTGGAAAACTGCAGCATCAAGCATTTCCATCCATTTTTTTTTTTTTTTTTTTTACAGTTTTTAATTTTCCCTTCATCCAAAGGGCTTGTGCGGTATCTGAAAAGCTGAAACCTAGATGCCAAATAAGACCTTTAAAGTTTTTTTTAAAAAATCAGAGATTATCTGAGGGGTGCAGGTGGGGTAGATATTGCTAGGCACCTGAGATAACTCATCACCTACAGCGAGGCACTGAATTCCGGGCTGAGCTTCCAGACTGCAAGTGCAAAAAGGGAAACAGGCTGAGTGGCGTTGTCTCCTTCCCGGTGGCGGCTGGGTAAGGTGTGGGGTTAGAGTTTCGATTCCAGCTCTCTGCTCCGTGTCTCCTTAGGCCAAGTTGCGGGACTCCCAGGGGAAGGTGACCAGACGGTTCAATGAGCCCGGGGCTTCCCTGACCATACCGGCTCTGGACGGCGCCCCGTTCAGCTTCACCGTGAGGCAGGACGTGGTGGACGCTGCAGTAGCTTCCCTTCTCCCTCCGGAGGAACTCATGGTCCTGCTGGACTACGTGGTAAGCCCCGGAGTGGGACAGAGGATGCAGCCACCTCTACGGCATCATGGGAATTTTCTGAACCAAAGGGGATGCGAGGACCCCGGAGCCCCTGGGCACGAAGCCCCTGTCGAGCTGAGTTTACACCCCTCTCGTCACGGCACGCTTCCTCCCTCCCCTAACAGTCTCTCTGACACGTAGTGCTAAAGAGGAAGCTTTCCCTGTAACATCCGGTCCTGGTCCTCGTTCCGCCCTCTGAGAACAGGACACCCCTGCTTCTCCTACGGAATAGCAGTCCTGTCTGTCCACCGTGGGCCCGTGGCAGACATGACTAATCAATCAGGGTCCTCCCCATTGAGCCTCGATGCTGACAAGGCCTTGGAATGCTTCTCAACACAGCCCGCCCTAGTCACCCAGGGTGTGCCACCGCCTCCACGGTGACTGATGGGGAAACAGGCCTACAGGGCAGAAGCGTTGCCCCAAGGTTATGGGAGAGTGTCCGGAGTTCAAGGAAGCTGACAGACAACAGGTAGCCAAGCTCTTGAGGATCAGAACTCAGTGTATGGGGCTGAGATGGTGAGAAGAGAGGGGTGGTCACCAGCAACCACATTCAGGACGACAGTAAGAACTGGGTTACTTCTCTGTGCGCTCTGAGAGCAATGAGCTGCCCACAAACCCACAACCACCACCAACCCACAGGCTGGCGGGGACACACACACACACACACACACACACACCCCGCCTCACAGCGGCTAACAGAGGGCTGTTTTTCACCAGTGACAAATACGTAGCCTGGACCACCGGGCCCACCCGGCTTTTCTGGGATTCTGGGGATCGCGGCCATGGGGCTGCTGCAGGGATGTTCCCCCCACCCCACCTCCCAGCTGACCTGCTCTGGCTTCCTCTCATCCTCAGCTTCCTGAGATGGCCCTCCGGCTGAAGGACAGCATCAATCGGATCAGTGAGAAGGTCGGTCCACGTGCCATCTGCAGCTGGATAGGTGTTTGCGGGGGTCTGTCCTCAGGCCTCCGGGGAATAAAATGGTGGGAGACGGCTCTCCTTCCTTCCAGCACTAGTGACTTCTACAGGCCCGCCCCTGTCCTCAGGAAGATCTCAGTCCAACAGGGCAGGTCGGCCTGAGTCACATGATTACACAGATAGCATGTCCGTTATGAGGACAGATGCGAAGGGTTATGAAAGCATTGATGGGGCACCGACAGGGTCCGGAAATCTAGGGAGGGCTTCCCCGGAGAGAAGGGGATTCCAGGCAGAGGGAGAAGCCAAACCACAGGCTGAGAGGGTGAGAGCAATCCACGTCAGGACGGAGCAGACAGCGTGGCCGGAGCACCGAGAGGACGCAGGGAGGCCGGGGAGCTGGGCACGGGCCGGCCACGGGGACCTGAGGGCCACAGGCAGGCGCGATGTCCTTCCAGGCGGCGGGCCAGCTGAGGCACACGCAGATCGTGAAGATCCTGACCCAGGAGCCCCCGGAGCTCCTTCTGGACGAGGGCAGCGCCAAGGTGGCCCAGATGATCGTGCTGGAAGTGTTCCCCACCAACGAAGTCCGCCGCCCCTTCTTCACCCTGGGCATCGTGAGTTCGCGGCGCGTGACACCGGGGACACCTGCGGTTCACCCCTCTTGCTTTGCTAAACGTCTCCACCCTCTTGTCGCCCATCAGGATGGGAGAGCGAGCTCTAACCCCAAGGATCAGGAGCTTTGGGGGCCCAGCTCTGACCCTGTGACTATTAGTCAGTCAAGACTTTGCACCCCCTTTTCAATCGGTTCCTGGCCGCCCAATCGTCCCCAGCGGTGGGAAGGACATGGCTCCCAGCAAGGCCGCTCTGTTCCAGCAGGAGCATGGCCGCAGCAAAGGGGCTGGGACTGCAGGCTGCAGCCCTGGGCAGGGAGGGACGGACGGACGTCCCGCCCTCTGAAGGGGATCTGAGGGGGGCTCTGACCGCGCCCACCGCAGAGGCAGAGAGAAGGGAGAGACAACGCAGGGTTCATGCCTGGCTGCTGGAACCATGCCCGGCCAAGGGGTCTGGAGAGGACCTGGTTGTTGGAAAGAAGCTAGAGAGGACTGTCCTCGCAGCAGAGCCCCCACACAAAAGACCTCAGGAGACACAGCACCCTAGCTTCCTGCAATGAAGGATATTCTTTTGTTGTTGTTGTTGTTGTTGTTACTCCTCACCCAGGCATATTTTTCCATTGATTTTTAGAGTGGAAGGAAAGGGAAGAAACAGAGAGAGAGAAACACATCAATGTGAGAGAGACACATTGATTGGTTGCCTCCCGCATGCGTCCCGACCAACCGGTGCAGGGGGTTGAGCCTGCAACCTGTGCCCTTAACCGGAATCGAACCCGAGACCCTTCAGTCTGAGGGCCAATGTTCTAACCATTGAGCCACTGGCTATGGCTATTGGAGGATATTTTGGTTCTCAACCAGCAGTGAGAATGAGCTTCCCTCCATGGCCAATGGAAGGCACTTTTCCAAAGGCCCCCAGGCCCAGGCCTGCAGGACGAGTCTGTCCTCTGGATGCAGCTCCCTGGAGCCAGAGCCTGGCACCCTGCCCTCAGGTTCCCCTCCCGCCCACCCCTACCTCACCCCCGCCCACAGGTCAAGCTGATGTATATCTTTGGCACTTGTAATCGAAACTTGACTTTGCTTCTGACCTTTCTGATAATAATAATAATAATAGTTAACATTACCAGGAGGTTACTGATCCTTGTCCCTCAGCCTCCTCACCTCTACCATGAGTAAAAATAGAAGCCGCTTCAAAGAGTTGTGGTGATCATCATATAAACTTCCTAAACCTGCCAGACACACCGTGAAGGCTCCGCTGTCATCATCGTTTCCCATAGCAATCCCATGTGGTTGTCTGTTCCGTGGGGAGGGGGTACAGGTACTACCCCATTTAATAGATGCGGAAAGTGAGGCCAGAGCGGTCAAACCCTTTCCCAAGGTCTCAAGACCAATAGCTGAGACCCGAGAGTCAGCTTGACCCCAGAGCGCCTTGCAGAACCCCACTCCCCACCTTTGACGCATCCTCTGAAAGAAACGTGGGCTTCTCGTTGCAGGAAGCCAACTCGGAAGCTCAGTTTCATATCAAAGGCGACCGGCTTATGCTCAACTTAAATGAAATCAGGTAAATCATAGCGAAGGATCTGGCGATGGAAATGAGTGCCCCCTGGTGGCCGTTGGGTTTCTTTAAACACAGTGCTGTGAGTCTCTGGGGAAGGCTACCCCAGGGCAGGCAGAACGGCTGCCTTACCTGGGCAGTCCAGCTGCCGAGGACTGAGTGTGAGGACAGAGAAGGAAAGGGAGGCATGCTGACCCTGGCCACGGGAACAGCCTGCCCAGCATCATCCCCTCGGCCGTGGCGGCCCATTCCGGACACCTCCACACAGAGGCAGTGACGGTCATGCCTCCGTGCAAAGCCCCCACGGAGCCCAGCCCAGAAGCACGGCGCTCCGGCTGCCCTCTGCGCCCCACACCCTCCTGCTGCCCGAGAGGAGTTCCGGGGGCAAATGCAGCCCCTGCGAGTGTTGTGATCGGCCCAATAGGGTAGGGTTTCTTAATAGAAATGAGTTGCCAACATATAAAAACCAGAATTTCTGCTGTCATAGGCCTGCATTCCTACAGGGCAGCAGCTGAGCTTGGAATCAGATATCCCCTTTGGAACAAGACTGAGCTCCTCAGTTCACGGTGGTCCTCCCTCCTGAGGATGATTTGTATGATTTTTAACTATTTGTTTTCTGTCTCCCCATCCCACCCTCACTTACAATGTAAGCTCCATAAAGCAAGAATCTGAGTTGGTTCACTGCTGAATCTCCAAGCCTACACTGTGTCTGGTGCATAATAGGTGCTCAATAAACAGCTGTTGAATGAATGAATGCATGCATGAATGCATGCATGGGACTTGGAGGGACCATTCTCGTGGGCATTTTCTGTTGCAGTTCTGATCGGATCCACCTGATGAACTCAGACATTGAATTGTTCGACGTGAGTATTAACGGCTTGTCCAGAATGGTCCATTTCAAAGGAGACATTTTGCAGAATGTGCTTTCAACAGGTCCCCGTGGGCAGCCCCATCGTGGGCTGGCCAGCCTCCACATTATCAGCTACACAGTCTAAGCTCCTGGTTCAGACATTTACCTGCTCTGTGCCAAACACAGCTGAGAACACACACTACGGACACTCAGATACACATCCACTTTCCTGTGAAGCTTTGACCCAAAATTAAGAAACAACACTCTCTCCTCTTCACAATCACATAAACTCATCTCAGTGACCGTGAGCAGCCCTCTCCTGCTCCTCAGCTTCCTCCTCTGAGTCGGACTAAGTCAGAGTCTGAGATTGGCTGAATCCTGTCTTGTGGCGTGGTGTCAGTTCTCGGGGTTTGGTTGGTTTGTTTTTGTATTTTGTTTTGGTTGGGGTTCTTTTTTGTCTTTACATGTGTTTTTTTAATATATATTTATTGATTTCAGAGAGGAAGGGAGAGGGAGAGAGAGATAGAAACATCAATGAGGAGAGGGAATCATTGATCGGCTGCCTCTTGTATACCCCACATTAGGAGTTGAGCCCACAACTGAGGCATGTCCCCTGACTGGGAATCGAACCGTGACCTCGTTCATAGGCTGATGTCAACCACTGAGCCATGCTGGCCAGGCTGTCTATATATATATATATATATATATATATATATATATATATATTTTTTTTTTTATTGGTATTTTAAAACAGGAGGTTTCACATGAAATCAGGACTCTGACTTCCCTTGAGAAGTCAAAACCTCAGGAAGCACAGGGCTAAATTTCCTAAGGGCACATTCTACTGGAGGCCGGAGAGTGGAGGGTGGGTCCCTCTGACCTAGGGGACCCCAGGGCCAGTTGTGTTTGTGTCACTCCCAGGAGCCTTAGCAACTTGGACTGGCAGGGGACTTGGAACTCCAGCATCCCCACCAGCTGTCCTCAGGATGGGGCTGGGCTGTTCCCGTTCTTGGGGGGACTGGAGATTCTCAGCCAGGGAACAACATCCCTTCTCTCTCACAGCCTGAGATTCTGAAAGACATCGTCATGGATCTCCTCGCCGCCATCTTGCTGCCAAATGAGAATGGTGCGTCCCTTTGCTATCCATCCCCCCCGCTTCCCAGAGGGTGGGCCCGTTACTTCTCCTGCCCGAGTCTCCATCTGCGGCCCCTTTCGCTCATTTTCCACCCTGCTTCAAATTCCACTTCTCCAGGAAGCCTTTCTGGTCACCCATCTAGAAATGAGCTCTCCCATGCCCCACTTCCTTCACTGGTTCCAGAGCCTCAGAACGCGAAGATGAGCCAGGCAGTGCCCCTGGGGATGGCAGCTGGGGACCGGGGTGTAAACAGACAATGCACACTCGATATGCCTCAGACAGACCCGGTTCAAGTCTCAGTTCCCTCTTGCTGGCTCCCCTGCCTTAGATGAGCTGCCTTACTATTCTGAGCCTCCGTTTCTCCATCTGTAAAATGGGGAAATGAGAGTACCGCCTTCAGAGGCATAAAGGAGATGGTCTTTGTCAGGGGCAGAGGGGTCTGCCTCGCACAGTTGGTGTTCAACATTTCTCAGCCATGGTTGTTGCTAGCGTTGTTATTTGTGTTCGTGGTGGAGGAAGCCGAGAGAAAAGATGGAATTATTCTAATTAAGCCTCAGGTCATGGGGGTGGGACGGTTGGTCACCTATGACAAGCCCACCTCTTTCACTTCTTTATTTTATTGGAATGAGAAATCTCTCAATGTCCACACTTGTGCTGTGGATGATGGGAGGCCTGGTGCTTAAGCAGGAGTGTGAGAGGAAGTGGGGGGGAGGGGGTGCCCTTTGGAGCAGCCAGAGCCGTGATGGGTGGAGGCAAAGGCTAAGGAGAGGGGGCTACATGGATACTGGGCAGGAGGACAGCTGAGCAGAGGCAAAAGGGGCAGCCTGCGTCAGGCATGCCAAGTCCTGAGCCTGCCTCTGGGAGTGGTGAGCTTACCCACAGCTGCCCAGGCCCACCCCAAGCCCAGCAGTCTCCAACCATACTTGTTATTTCAGCCAAATTAAGATCTGGGATCCCACTGTCGATGGTGAAGGGCTTGGGATTTACCGAATCTTCATTGACTCTGACCAAGGTGAGTGGGGTTGGACATCCTGCCCCAGGGAGGGCATCGTCACTAGGAAAGCCCGGGGCTGGGAGGTGTGGGCTGGGCTCCAATCCTGACCCCGTTGGTCACACATGAAGGGCCTTGGGCACATTGCTTCTTCTTCTCTCAGGACCTCAGTTCCTCATCTGTAGCTGGAAGAGTACAACTGTCCTTGACAGGGGTCAATACTCCTTCAGCTTTTTCCACCCTAGCTTCCATTCATTTGTTTGTTCATTGATTTAATAAGGCCTGCTACAGTAGATGCTCAGTAAATGCTTATTGAACATCTGACACTTGTTGGCAGCTGTTATGGAGAGGAGCTGTAGCACCATCCACCCCCCTCTTCCCCCAAATATTGTCATTAATAATATTTAACAGCCCATAATCATGTTGTGCCAGATACTGGGGTATCTTGCTCAGTCTTCACAACTATCCTATGAGGTACATCCTGTTGTCATCCCCATTTTATAGATGGGGAGACTGAGAGTGAGAGATGGCAAGTCTGTTGAGGTCACAGGCTCAAGTCTGATGAGGTCACAGGCTCAATAGGTGGCAGAATAGAGATCTGCACTCAGCACCTGCCCTGATAACCTCCCGCTGTAGGCTCCAGTCTCTAAGTGAGCCAATGACAGTGAGGTGATTCCCTCTTAGTCAGCTGGCCAGCAGGCATTTACTAAGCACCTACTATGTGCCAGGCACTGAGCACAACTGTGAACAAAAAAAAGACAGAAACCCCTGCCTTCTTGGAGTTTCTAGTCCACTTTGGAGTGAGGGAGACATTGAAAGCAGAAGTATTAACAATGAAGAGCACCCACAGGTAACTGCCCATCCTTACACAGCCAGGGTGCCCAAGCAAAGGCCAGGGAGGCGCGGCAATCTGTTTAGTTCCAGAGAAATCCCCAGAAGAAAGGAAGTCTCCAAATTGCCCCACCCCACTAGAGTCCATTTTGGGGGAAGGATAGGAGGCTTTGTTAACAAGCTTCCAAAGCAAGTTGACATTTGACGACTTATCGGCTGCCCACCTCAACAACCGCGCCCACCCTTTAGCTGGATTTGATGGAGAATACTGGGAATAGTTCTGTGGATGGTACCACAAGAGGCTGAGAATCTAGGCTGAGAATCAGGGGATCAGTTCAGATCCCAGCTCTGCCTCTCTCTAGCCATCGGACCACAGGCATGTCCTCTGGCCTCTCTGAGCCCAGCTTCCTCATCCACAAAACTCAGCAGATGTCTGAACTCACAGGCCATGCACTAAGGGACTACATTACAATAATCCGAGTAAAATATACGTAGTTTATTTATCTAAGACATACATGGATTGGTGTTGGATGGACAATGGGTATCCATACAAGCTGAAGCTTGGTTTATTTCACATATCTCTTATTAGGGGACATTTAGCAATGCTCCTTTTTTTTTTTTTTAAACAACTTGCATCACATAATTCATTGTTTACAGTTTGAGCTGCAAAAGTATCATTTCATTCTTTGGAACGGTTTCCAAATTTTCTGGTCTACTCTGTTCATTTATTTTGGACTCAGCAGCACATTTATTTCCTTTTTATAGCTTTATAATATAATATGTTTTAAAGTCTAGTCAAACAAATGAATAAGTGGTTAGATATAAGATAAAGCAAGTATAGCTTTTTAAGTGGGAGAATCCAGATCATGAGTACATAAGTGATCACATAAAATTCTTTCAACTTTATTGTATGTTTGAAAATGACCAAAATAAAATGTTGGGGGATATCCAATAGATTAAGTTCTTCCTATCACACTTAGTTTAAAAAAAAAAAAATCCAGAGCCTTGTTAAAAATTTAGCTGCCTAAATGGGGGGGGGGGGGGGGGGGGCGAGGGGGATATATGTAATAGTTTCAAAAATAAATATTTTTTAAAATATTTAGCCCAAATGATACAACCAGAAATCTGCATTTGAGCAAACTTTTGGGAGCATGTTGGTGATCAGCTAGGACTAGGGGCAATGATCCTATACAATCTCACTCCCTGCAGGCAGACCCTACTCCTCCGTCGCTTCCAAGAATTCTGTATGAGTGAGCTCAGGACCATGACCCTCAATGCCAGGGGTCACCTTGAGGAGGACATGCTAGCATAAATCACAAGACAGGAGGTATAAAAACAACCCAGCTGACTTTTCTCCTCCAATTGCAGGACGCCTTTGTGATCACCCCAGTCACCCCGTAGAACCCTGGACCCCTCTCCTCTCTTCCAATGAAGACTTGGACAGCGGCCACCTGGGGCAGGCTGGCTCCCAGTGGCATCCAGCTCCATAGGTTCCCTCTCTGCAATAAATAAATAGTTGTCTATGATTTGTGAAGTCTGGAGTGTATTTGTCTCAGGAGTCACTGTGCCCTTGGCAGGCCAATGGGCTGGACATCCAAGCTACATCTGGATCATGTTCAGGCCCTTCTGAGCCGATCTGGGCCACATCGGAGCTATGTGTGGGCCACATCAGACCACATGTGGATAGCATCCAAGGTTTTGGCCGCCTCTCTGGGCTTCCGGAATAAGAAAGCTGGTTGTGCCCTCCTACCTTCTGGGCTGGCCCTAAGACCCCCACTTGGTGGGACAACCTCTCGGCCAGGGTCGCATGCTTTGTTGGCCTTGGCAGTGTGGTGGGTTGAGAGCCGTCTGAACAACATGACTGTAGAGGCAGGCTTTGCCTTCTGGCCGGCCCCCCTCGATGGTGGTTCACCCTGGAAGGTGGCTCCCCTCAATGGGCCTCAGTTTTTCTCTCTATAAAATGGGAGAGTCATATTCCAATCTTAGGAGGCTATAGTGAGGATGGCATGAGAGAGAATGGTTCCAGTGATGCAGGAGGTGCTCAAACAATGTCCCTGCGGGTGATGTCATCTGGTACTGCTGTCGCCTGGCCTCCAGGATGTTGGTTTATCACCGAAGGCCCTTCCTGCTTGGACAGCAACGGGACTCCATTGTCTCCCTGACGTCTTTGACGCATCAGGTTCAGCACAGACAATAGGGCCCCTGTTCTCCAGACTCCAGGCCCTCCGAGCACACAAAGTCCCTTCCTCGCACATGCACACAAGGGGCCTCACAGGAAAAGTCATTACCCAACTTCAGGGCCTGAAAAGGCATAAGAACAGCTCACAGCCTGGAGAGGCAGCTCAGACTGAGTTTCTATCTACAAGACACAGGCTAGCCGAAACCGGATTGGCTCAGTGGATAGAGCGTCGGCCTGCGGACTGAAGGTCCCAGGTTCCATTTCTGTCAAGGGCATGTACCTTGATTGTGGGCACATCCCCAGTAGGGGGTGTGCAAGAGGCAGCTGATCAATGTTTCTAACTCTCTATCCCTCTCTCTTCTTCTCTGTAAAAACTCAATAAAATATATTTAAAAAAAAAAAAAAAAAAGACACTGGCTAGGCCAAGAGGGACACAGAAGGGCCAGGATAAGACCCTGCACAGGCGCTTATAGCAGAGCCAGTGGGCACTTCCTCTGCCGTGGCTGAGCTCTGGGCCGTGGGCTGCAACTCCCAATGCACCACGGACTCCCAGCCACACTTAGTGGTCTGGGTCCCTAACATCATTATTTTCACAATCATATTAAATCTAGGTGTGAGCTCCAACTCAGCAAGGGAGATCCAGAAAATTGATCTCTGGCTGACCAGTGTAGCTCAGTGGTTAGAGTATTGGCCCGCACACCAAATGCAGCCAATTGGGGTGTCTCTCTCACCTCTCCCCCACTTTTTCCTCTCTCTCTATTTCCCTTCCTCTTTCCTCTCTTACTTCCACTCTCCTTAACAATCAATGGAAAAAATATCCTCTAGTGAGGATTAACTAAAAAAAAAAAAAAAAAAAAAAGGAAGTGGGTCTCCATCCTGTCTGGAGTAGGTCTCTGCTGGTTCCCTGGAGTCATACAAGGATCTGTTGGGGAGCTTCTGAGGACCCCGGGAGAAGGGGCAGAGCCTGTGGTCTTGGGTCCCATCTGGTGCCGATGGAGGAACCCCTGTCGATGCGATCCTGTCAGCAGCAGCGAGCACACCCACCCCCAGTCAAGCAGAAGCACCTCCCTAAACAGCCATGGCTGTGGCTCTGGTTCCAACCACCCACAACCTCTGGGGCTTCCTGGAGGTTAGTGGGTAAATAACCCCCCTTCCTCACCCCACGGGGCAGGGAACAACCCCACACCAGCTCCCTGCTCCCACGATACCCCAGCGGGCCAGAGCCCCAGGTGCCCTGGAGTCACTTGCTTGATGGCTGTCTCTTTTCTTACTTTCCCCCTCCCGCTACCAGAGTCTCCTGAGATCCCCTCCCAAACCAGCTCCCTGCACGCAGATCCTGCCGGGGAACCCACACCAAGACAAGCACCTGCCCTGCCAAGGGTCTGACGGACCTTCATCCCCCAGCCTTTCCCACAGCCTGCAGCACCCCCGCTTGGCAAACGAGGAAATGGAGGCTCTGACTACGTCACTACATCAGCCCACAATGCCTCCTACTCTCTAACTTATCACTCCCCTCGATCTTCACCTCCCAGAAAGGAGAGGTCTTCTGCGCCAGCCTCCTTCCATATGAGGCCTGAGCCACAACCACATCCATGCACCCCTGAGGCAGGAACCCCTAGGTCAGATCTCTAAGACCCTGCGACCTTCCTGGTCTGGAGAGGAAAAAGTCCTCTACTTCTCTCTGAGTCTCATTAGCCACAGAAGATTAAAAAAAAAAAAAAATACCCAGTGATATCTCAACAACCCCTCCGGCCTCACAGGAGTCATTATTGTCTTTGTCTTACTGATGAGGGATCAAGTAACACCCAGCCAGTGAAATGGAAGCCAAGCCTCATCCACGTGCCCATTCCCCCAGGAAATCTCCTTTCCGCAGAGATCAGTCGGTGAGGTAAAAGAGGTGGATTCCATGAGGCTCCAACCAATTCTTCCCACATGTCCGGGGTAGAGAGGCCAGATTTTGGAAGGGGGTGGCAGAGGGAGACCTCTAAGCTTCCACCAACATCCTGCATCAAACCCCAGTGACTCATGAGAAAATTAACCCCAGAGCCTTTCTCTGCCCCAAGTATGTGGCAGCTATGTTAAGACCCAATCAATAGAAATAAGTGGAGGCGAAACTGTGGATAGAGGTTCAGCCTGAGGACTGAAAGGTCCCAGGTTCGATTCCGGTCAAGGGCATGTACTTTGGTTGTGGGCACATCCCCAGTGGTGGGAGGGTGCAGGAGGCAGCTGATTGATGTTTCTAGCTCTCTATTCTTCTCCCTTTCTCTCTGTAAAAAATTTAATAAAATATATTTTTTTAAAAGAAAGAGAAAGAAAGGAAGGAGGGAAGGAGGGAGGAAGGAAGGAAGGAAGGAAGGAAGGAAGGAAGGAAGGGAGGGAGGGAGGGAGGGAGGGAGGGAGGGAGGGAGGGAGGGAGGGAGGGAGGAGGGAGGAAGAAGAAAGAACGAAAAGAACGAAAGAAAGAACGAAGACAAGAAAGAAAGAAAGAAAGAAAGAAAGAAAGAAAGAAGGAAAGAAAGAAAGAAGGAAAGAAGGAAAGAAAGAAAGAAGGAAAGAAAGAAAGGGAACCAGCCATCTTTTAGAGCATCTTCCAACCAAAAATGACACTGAGATTCTAGAATAAGTACATCCCATCTAAAATATGCTCCTGAATCACACTAACATCAACCGCTTGCTTTTGATATTAGCCAAAGAGAGAATTGGAGCACTAGCTGACATTGACCTAGCATTTCCTGGGCAGCTTCTGCCTTCCACTCTCCCACCATCAGCCCCTCTGCTTGGTGTGTCCAGCTGAAAAACGGAGTGTAACACCTACGCTGACCACATCTCTGAGCTGTGAACGGGGAAGGAATTAATTCTGGAGAGAATCCTGTGGAAAATCTAAAAGCCACCTGGAGATGAATGTGCCTGCCATCAAAATAACCACCTGGACAGCAGTTGATGAGGGCGTCACGGTGGCAGAGCCAGCTATGCACACTCGCCATGGGGGCACCAGGATGCTCACATCAGAGGACCTTTGCATAGCAGTTTGGTTGGGAGTGAGAACTTGGGGGGCCTGGAAGCCATGTTGCATAGTAACCCTGGATTTCCCTTTCACCGGGTAGCCAGCCCCCTCTCTGAGCCCTGACTTCAAATCCAGTTCTGTCTCAGGCCTGCTGAGCGACCTTGAGAAAACCACTTAACCTCTCTTAGTCTGTTTTCTTCATCCATAAAATGGAAATGAAAACAAGTAACTTCTTTTGAACCCTCTCTAGGTGGCAGGCCCTGTGCTAACATCTACAATACATGCGTAACCTCAAAGATCTTCACAATATCCAAAAAGACATATGTGGGTTTATTCTTTTTCTTTTGCAGGCATGAAAAGGGAGTCCCATGAGGGAATGTAACTTGCCCACAGTCACACAGTGTCCGCTTGACAGTGGGGATTTGAACGCAGGCCTGCCTGACCACAGAGGCATGGCACAGAAGCCACACAGGGAAAAGGCATGGGGAACGGTCTCAAAGCGGTCGCCGGGCTCCTCCGCTCTCCCCCCAGTATACGCCCTTACTCCCTTGGGCTCCATGGCTGGCACATTCTGTATTAGAAGCCTCCCTGGGTCCCTTTCAAGAGTGAAGACCCAGCCAGGCCCTGCGGCTCTGATGTCGTACCTCAGGGAAAGGGCCCAACCCCCAAACCGGAGGGTCCTCCCACTTCCTCCCTGGGGTATGCTGGCCCGGCCTAGCGTCTGTCCTTGGAGCCTGGGGGACAGGCCCTATCAGTCTTGGCCAGAGCTCCTTGCCACCCTCTGCCAAGAGGACCCTCCCTCCCCCGAAGAGCTCCTCTGAGCACCAGCCGCAGCCAAGGGGCTGGACTTCCTGCCATGTGCCACCTATGGTGGTGAGCTCGGGTTATAAACGTGTCTTTCTTGAAAGCGGGAGCCAGAGACCAGGCAGAGATTCCAGGCATCCCTATTCGTGGAGAGGTAAGGACAAAGAGACCCACAGGGGCACGTTGAGGTGCTTCTAGATACCTACACTAATGTGGTGAAGTGGCGCAGAGGGTCCTAGTGCCAGGCCGACCTGGGTTCAAATCCAGGCTCTGCCACCTACTCCCTGTGTGGTTTGGGGCAGGCAACACATTGCTCCTCTCTGAGCTTCAATATTGTCCTCTGCAAAACGGACCTGCTACCTGTGACCCCAGCCACTGCGGTGAGGACTCGATGATGGGATGGAACCTGTGAAGCTCTTGGCGTGGTGTCTGCCACAGAGTGAGAGCTCAAGCAGAAGGCGGGGCTGGTGCGGTGATCTAGGACAAGAGAGGGAGAGATGGGAGGATGGTGTGAAGTACTAAGGGCAGAGAGGGAGGAGGGACTGACTTAGGTGAACTGACTGAGGGAAGTGTCTGTCATAGGACTGACAAATAGTGGGTGAATTTTAAATAATGCTAGAAGCAAAATATAAATAGCTAATGCCAAAAGTACAAGTTTTTCAGTCCAAAATTTGCATATGCAAACAAAAACTTTCTTTTTTATACCCAATTATAGCACAGTTTGGGGCAGCTCCCTTACCACCAAGCACAAAAAATCTGGACATTGCTGACTCGAGGCAATGAAAGAATGTTCTCAGGCCCTCGAGGGCGGGCTCAGCTGCTTGGGGGGGGGGGGGGGGGGGCACGCTAATCCTGTCCTGTCCTTGCTCAGGGGAAGCATTGCCCTCTGGGTGGCTTCTTCATAGGCGTGCAGCGCTGGCTCCTCGGTGAGCCCTGCTTACCCCAGCGTGTGTGTCTGCATCCCAGCTGGTCCCTGCCTAGCATTTCAGAAGCTGAGTTTCTTGGTGACTCACTTATGCCCACCCAGCGACACCCCGCCCCCACCTGCAGGCTCCAGGGTCCTGACTGTGCCCCTCTGGCCACACTCTGCAGGGCTGGGGTTCAGCCGCCAGGACCCCGCACAAACACACTAGGTGCAATATTGAGATACTTCCTTACTCGTTGGTAAAGAGCCATGGCTTCAAGTCCCAGGGGCCCAGCTCAGCCACTATGGTGCCTCCCCCAGGACCCTTCCCTGTCCTCCTCAAGATCCTGAAACGTCCTACATCTTTAAACACCTCACAGTGTGGGCCAGCCACACTAACCGGGGTTATAGGTCCATTGCTTGCTCAGTGCTTGGTGCATATTGTTGAATGTATTCCTCACCATTAATGTTGAAGCCCAATTTTACGGGTGAGAGGCCAGAGGTATCGAGAGATCAAGTGACCTGCTCAGGGTCACATAGCCGGGAAGTGGCAGAGCCCCGATTGGAAGGCAGCCCACACAAGGAGGAAGGGCATGCCAGGCGAAAAGCGCTAGTGTGAGATGGCGGGAAGGGCAGGCTCTGCTCATGGACCAGTGGGCCTGGAGCTAGAGGAGAAGCCAGGGGAGGGGAAACGGGAGGGATCGTTCTAGAAGAGGCACAAGGCGCTGAGCGATGGGTCCCTGGTGAGGCCATGGAGGCGGCCTGGGGCTTCCCAGCTCTGTGTCCATAGGTCCCGGCCTCGAGGATGCTGCTGTTCTGGGGGTCACTGCTATGCTGGGGGCTGCTGCCCCAGGCCCACGGGGAGGCCCAGCACCTGCTCTTTCTACGGATCAGCAAGGACCAGGTCGAAACAGGTAACATGAAAGGGGTGGGCCGAGGGAGGCAGGCCCCAGGGAAGGAGAGGGTGAGAGATGGCACCACCTCCCTAGTCGAGGCTTCTCTCCTGGCCTCCCCGTCCCCAGCAGCAGAACGTGCCTTCCTTCGCTGAGAGCTGGCCCGTCCTTCCGGGCTCTGGCACTGCGGTGGCTCCCCAGAGCCCTCGGGAGAACCTCCAGGCTCCTCGCACTGGCACCCACGGCCCTCTATGTATGTCCAGCCTCTCCCACCACCACCGCCCTGACCACCCCTTAGACCACATGTGTCAAACACAAGGCCCGCGGGCCAAATCCGTCCCGCCAGGCCTTGCAATGTGGCCCGCACCGCGCTGTCATCACTGCACTCCGCTGCGTTTCCATCACAATGACAGTTTATGACTGTTCAGTAAACCATTCGGCCCGAGATTTAGGCTGGATTTTAGATTTTGGCCCCTTCTCTGATTGAGTTCGACACCCCGACCTTAGACCCTCCGGTTTCTTCCTTTGCTAGTGCTGCTCCGTTTGCCTGCTGTGCTCTTTTCCTTCTTCCCAACACGTGGAATTCCAACTCATCCAAGCAAAGCTCTGAAGGGAATCCCTCCCAACTTCTCCCAGCGGAAGGTCTCCCCCCTCCTGGCTCTCACAGCCCTTTGGGAAAGCCTTGTCCATGGCCTTACCCCCGTGGGTGGCACCTGCCCTGTTTGTCTGTCTCTCTCCCTGGCTTTTGGCCATGAGCTCCTTGTTGTCCCCCAGGCCCCACAGTCCTGCCTCACAGATCTGTTTCCTTAACTCACCACCTCAGGGCCTTCGCACATGCTCTCTCCTCTGCCTACATTGCTCTCCCCCTCAGATCCCGCAGGAGTGGATTTCTTCCCCTCATTCAGGTCTCAGCTCCAATGCCTCCTCTTCTGAGAGATTCTCTGTGACCACCCTTCTTCCAGTCATGCTCCAACTGGCCTGCGTTTTGTTTTCTTTGTGGCACTGTTTAGCGCTCTCGGAATTGCCGTGCCTGCTCCCTTCAGTGCTCAGTGTGGTCTGTCTCCCACCAGCACGCACCACCCACGAGGGCAGGAGCCACAGGGCCCCTGGTCCCGGAGCCAAGAGCGGGTAAGCACAGCTGAAACCGGTTTGGCTCAGTGGCTAGAGCATCGGCCTGCGGACTGAAAAGTCCCGGTTCAATTCCAGTCAAGGGCACGTACCTTGGTTGCGGGCACATCCCCAGTGGGTGTGTGTGCAAAAGGCAGCTGGTCGATGACTCTCATCGACATTTCTAACTCTCTATCTCTCTTAATTCCTCTCTATGTAAAATCAATAAAATATATTTGAGAGAGAGAGAGAGAGAGAGAGAGAGAGAGAGAGAGAGAGAGAGAGAGTAAGCACGGAAGTACTTGTTGCTAAATGGTCACCGGCCTCCCTGACCAGAGCAGATGCTGGCTGGTGAACGTTTGTTGGAGGCAGGGTGAGCCCATGCTGAGGAGGGGCTTGTGTCCTGTGCCCTCAGATATCTCAGACCTGCTCTCGGAACACCGCATTCTGGACCGCGTGGCCAGGATACCTGTGACGGGGGCCACAGGTGAAGGAATCGCCATCCTGGGCCACCTGCCCTTCGTAAAGAAAAGCCTCTCCAGGAAGAGCAGCGGGCTGGACCTGTCGCTGGTCGGGGACCTGCTCGCGGGGAAGAGCCTCCCTCTGCTGGGGCAGCTGCTCCGGGCAGGCGGGTGAGCGAACCGGGGCTGCTAGGCCTGTCTTCCCCCTCAGGCGCCGTGTTCTCGCCAGTTACATGCAGCCCCAGGCCGTGGGGGGAGGACTGGGTGTCCATGGAGGCTCTCTGCGGCCTGGGGAGCACTCAGCAGGTGCACTGTTCGTGTTCTTAAGCCTCCCCGGGACACTTGAAATCTCCCACAGAAAAAAGCAAGGTCCAAATCAGGGATCTCTGTCTGGTACCCTCCACCTTCAGTCTACACCTGGGAATTACAGTCTTGCCTAGTGTTCTTAAAAAAATACCTTAACAAATGGCCAGCATTTAAAAACCAAGAGGGTTTTCATCCAGTTCTAGGTTTTCTGGCTGTCTTCGTTTGCTGAAACCAAGGGCCGCAGCCTGAGAGGCTTGAACAGAAACGCACGGTGTCTCCGTTCTGGAGCTACAAGCCTGCGGTCAGGGTGCAGGCAGGTGGCTTCCTCCAAGGACTGTGAGGAAGAGTCTTCCCTGTGGCTCTCCCCCTCCTCCCCAAAGGCTGCGGGCAATCTCTGCAGATCCTTGGCTTGCAGAAGCACCACTCTGATCTCTGCCTTCATCTTAGCATATTAGGTTTTTATTGCATAGGATTACCCAATGTCACCCAATAATATTAATTCAATAAAAAACAGAATGATTTGGACCAGGTAGGGTTTTCCTACGGCCCTTCCAAGCTGATGCCCCTCTGCCATCATTGATGTCTCTATCTCTCTCTCCCTTTCTCTCTGAAATTTTATGTATATACAGATATAAAATAAAATTTATATATATATTTTTATATATATATGGAAGATTCTGCCTGTAGGCAGACACAGCCTTTGATGAGCCTGATGAGCCAGGACCTCCTCCGGCACTGCAACTTGCTGCTGCCCAATGAGTCACTAACTTGCATCTAACGTCCAAAAAGTACATAAACTGCCGAAACCAGTTTGGCTCAGTGGATAGAGTGTCGACCTGCGGACTGAAAGGTTCCGGGTTCGATTCCGGTCAAGGGCATGTACCTTGGCTGCAGGCCCATCCCCAGTAGTGGGTGTGCAAGAGGCAGCTGATCGATGATTCTCTCTCATCGATGTTTCTAACTCTCTATCCCTCTCTCTTCCTCTCTGTAAAAAGTCAATAAAATATATATTTTTTAAAAAAGTACATAAAAGTCAGGCTCCTCTCACCAAGGAGAGCAGAGACTCATGTCCTCCCTCCCAGCTGCTCAGCAGGGCAGATGGTTCCTGCCAGGATGGCAGTGGGTACACCAGCCATCTTGCTTTTCCAGACTCTCACCTGCCCACTTCCCTTCTGCAGAACACCTACACTGAGTTCAGACAGGTGAAACGTGTATAGACAGCTCCTCCACTGTATTATCTCCTTTTGCAGAAGGTGAGGTCCTTGCCAAAACCAGTCAAGGGCATGTACCTTAGTTGCAGACACATCCTCAGTAGGGGGTGTGCAGGAAGCAGCTGATGGATGTTTCTAATTCTCTATCCCTCTCTCCTTCTCTCTGTAAAAAATCAATAATATATATATATATATATATATATAATATATATATATATATATATATATATATATATATATATATATTTTAATAAAAAATAAAAAAGGTGAGGCCCTGAGATCTGGAGAGAAAAGGGACCTGTCAGGTCTTCAAGGCTTGGAGGCTGGAACTGGAGCCCAGTGTTCTGCAGCTGAACTGGGGTCAGGGAGGGGTTGTCCCAAAGCTGCCCCTCCCTTCCTGGGGTCCGCTCCTACTCTAGACACTACACACACACTCCACAGAAGCCTTACCAGGCTGTGCCACCTCCATCCCTCTCACAGGTTGATCATAGAAGATGCCAAAGGACCCGAGGTCACCCTGCAAGTCCTGAGCGACAGCCTGCTGCAGGTCACACTGCGATGCAAACTGTACCTCTCGCTCCAGAGGTGAGTGCCCGGGCGCTTCCTCCCAGCTTCCTCCGCAAGCAGCAGGCAGCCTGCACTGCTGACAAAAGCTTGCTGCCTGTGTCACCATAAGCATCGTAAGAATCCTTTCCTCTTGAGCTTGTTTCAAAGCCACTTTTACTGATGGGGAAACTAAGGCACTGAGTGGGAGAGGGACATGCCCCAGATACCACAGTGAATCAGCCACAGAAGCTGAGATAAAACCCTCTGACTTCCATGTCACCCCATCTGCCTAAAAGGCTGATGCATTAACAGGACGGTCTGAGGAGGATCTAATTCAAGGCCACCTTGGAGTTCAGCACTCCTAGACTCCAATCCCACTTACCATCTAAGTGACTTGAGCAAGGGCAACCGTTCCCTGGGCTTTAGTTTCCTCACCTACAAAGTGGGGATGATCAAATCTCCTGCTGTACTTGGCTGTTGAGAAAGTACACACTGCCCATCTGCGTTCAGATTGCTCACTAAACCGTAGGGGAAGATGCTGGCCTGGGGTTATAAAAACAACAGCCAACAGAGGAAGTGCTGTGGTGGTATTTGCACATGAAACAGGAATATTTTTTAATATGCTTTTATTGATTTCAGAGAGGAAGGGAAAAGAAGAGAGATAAAAACATCAATGATTAGCCAAAACCAGTTTGGCTCAATGGATAGAGCGTCGGCCTGTAAGCTGAAGGGTCCCGGGTTCGATTCCGGTCAGGAGCATGTACCTTGGTTGTGGGCACATCCCCAGTAGGGAATGTGCAGGAGGCAGCTGATAGATTTTTCTCTCTCATCAATATTTCTAACTCTCTATTCCTCTACCTTTCTCTCTGTGGAAAATCAATAAAATACTTTTTTTTCAAAATAAAAAACATCAGCCGGGACTGGTTTGGCTCAGTGGATAGAGCATCGGCCGGCGGACTGAAAGGTCCCTGGTTCGATTCCGGTCAAGGGCATGTACCTTGGTTGCGGGCACATCCCCAGTGGGGGGTGTGCAAGAGGCAGCTGATAGATGATTCTCTCTCATCGATGTTTCTAACTCTCTGTCCCTCTCAACTCCTCTCTGTGTAAAATCAATAAAATATATTTAAAAACAAAACAAAACATCAATGATTAGAGAGAATCATTGATCACTTCCTCCTGCCCACTCCGCCCCCTCCTACTGGGGATCAAGCCCGAAACCCAGGCATGTGCCCTAATCAAGAATCAAACCTTGACCTCCTGGTTCATAGGTCGAAGCTCAACCACTGAGCCATACTGGCCTGACAAGGACTATTCTTCAATGCCTTTTAGAAATATTTTTTTGTAAAATGTGGCTTTCTTGATTTAGCTTCCCTTTTTGATAGAGGAGCACAAAGAAATATTTCTTTGATAGAGGAATGGGCATAGAGAAATATCTCTCTGCTATACAATAAATATAATATCACCCTTGTAATGATGTGCAGTAAAAATACAACTTGATTCCTGACCTGGTGGAACTGTAGCAAACTAGAGAGCATATAGCCCATCTCAAGGTCACCCTCAGCGCCCCCAAGAGATTGCCACCCAGGGAGGACTCTGGCTTGGTATTGTCTGATCTTTCAGGTTTTCCAAAGTATGAACTTCATATTCTTTTTTTTCCCATCACCATTTATCCCTCATGCCCTCTTCTACCTCCACCCCCTCAGCAATCACCATACAGTTGTACATGTCCAGGAGTTCCTCTCTCTTTTTTTTTTTCTTTATCTTTTTCTTTTTTTTTTTTCTTTTCTTTTTGCTCAATCACTCCACCCTCTCCAGCACCAACATCCGAGCTGTCTGCCTGCTATCCATGAGTCTGTCTCTATTTTGCTCAGTAGTTCAGTTTGTTCATTAAGTTCCGCATATGTGAACTCTATATTCTTTTATTATCTATTCATTTTTTTTTTATTTCAGAGAGAAAGAGAGAGGGAGAGAGAGATTTTTAAAAAAAAATCTATAAAGAGAATCGGGGATCAAGCCTGCCACCCAGGCATATGCCCTGACCTGGATTCTAACCGTGACCTCCTGGTTCATAGGTCCACACTCAACCACTGAGCCATTGCAGCCGGGATTGAATTCCATATTCTTAATCAACTCCCCTGGTGTTTATTTGAGCCCTCCGGGCCATTGCAGGCCACTGGCCTGTGACTTCTGGTCTCAACCTTGGGCTGTGGCGTGAAGCCTGTCTAGACACATTGGCCCTGCAGGATCCTGCGGCTCAAAGTCATCAAGAACATCCGCATGGGGATACGGCTGGAGCAGACAGGGAACAAGACCCAGGTGGCCTTTGAGGAGTGCCACACCCCACCAGGATACCTGAGCATCACGGTTCTGGAGCGGTGAGTACCTGCCCATTCTGCGCCTCCACTGGGTGGAGGTGGGTGCCAGGTCTCCGTGCACTGCCCCTGCAGCTCAGCCCCTCACTGAGGCTCAGGGCTGAGGCTGCCTGCCCCAGCATAGTTGAGTGACTGAGGACACCAGGGTCAGGATCATCGCCAAGGCCACAGGCCACACCACCATCAGTATCTTCAGCCTTAACGTTGAATGTCATGGCTAAGCATGTGCATCAAATCTCAGCTCGGCTGCTTTCTAACATAGGGGCCCCTTGCCAAGCTATCTGACTTCTAGTAAAACAGGATTTCTCACAGAACCCAGCCAGCTCGGGTGGTTGTGGGGAACAGATGAGTGAACCCATGGGACCCACTTAGCATTAAACCTTCCGCAGAAGGTGGCCACTATCCGTGATTCTCAAATTACCTGGCACAAAAGCCATTTCCTTCATGAATCCCGCCGTGACTTCTACTGCGAATTGTGATCTCTCCCTCTTTGAAAGTCACAGAAACATTTATCAGAGAGAGAAATAAGGAGGCCGAGGCAGGGAGGAAGAATAGGGAAGAAATAAAGAGGAGCAGGAGAAAGTGAGGGAGGTAGAATGCAAGAAGGCAGGAAGGATGAAAAAGCAGAAAAGGAAAGGGAGGAAATAGGAGGGAAACATCAGGTGAGAAAGGGAGCAGCCACTCTGAATTTCCATGTTACATAGGCTCACGGGGACCTTCCTCAGCCCTGCCCTGGACTCCATGTTCTGGCCTCAGTCTCCCATTCACTGGTGTCTCAGACCCCATCTGCTCTCCCCTGCCCTAGGATGAACTTCCTCCTGGTGAATGAAGCTCTGGGGATGGTGACACGTGTCCTGGACCAGGCATTGCCCTTCCTCCTGCAAAAGATAGTGAGTTGCTCATCCTCCCGGCCCCCCTCTCACCCCTTGGAAAAGGAGCACAACCGCAAAGGAGAGCCCTCAACCTCACCCAACCCCAACCAAGACCCCCTCATGCCTTCCCTCCAGGTGTGCCCCTTGGCCACGACCCTGCTCAGCTCGCTGCTGGAAGACCTGCTGCACATCCACTTGTGTATGTTGGTCCAGGCTCCTCTGCTGTCCCTGTGCTGTGTGCCCGGAACTGTCCTGGGCTCTGCTGTGATGGGAAACAAAGCACACCAACCCTGCCCACTGCGGGCCTGCTTTCCAGTGGGGGAGGAAAGGAGCAATGTGCCTCTGACCCTGTAAAGTGGGATCATCAGAGGCCCACAGAGTAGACTCTGTGATAATGCATATGACCTGGCACAAAGGTATTGCTCAATAAATGGCCGTTGTTATAAGAAGCACAGCCCAGCCCATAAAGGACTTAAAGCTGAGTGGAGAGGGAGGACAGATTCTCCATTTTGCTGCCTCCCTGTGCCCCAGGGGAGGCTGAGTGCCAGATTCCTTTCCTCACTGTAGCCCGGGCCCTCTCAGGCCCAGAAGACTTCCGGTACTATGTCACCACCACGGAGTTCACCGAGGACGCCATCCTGATGAAAGTCCTGGTGAGCCAGCCCCCTGGCCAGGGCACAGCTCCGGGGGCATCTGGGAGAGGATGGACAAAGAGGAGAATGTGATGGGGCTTCTCTGGCCGGAAGCACAAAGGGGAGGAGGGGAAGGAGGAGGAGGAAGAGGCAAAGGAAGACCCAGGTCCCTGTCCTCGGAGCTCGTGCTGAGCCCAGGGAGTCCTTCCTCAACGCGGGAGAGCAGGAGCGGCCACAGGGCTGCATGTCCCAGGAGCAAGGACCAAGCCCCAACTACAGGCAAGGGACTGCAGGGCCATGCGCAATGCCCTGTTGGGAGGGTCCCCTCAAATGCAGAAATGAATCCCATAGAAAGGATGAGGCTGGCTGTCCATCTGCCCCCATGGAACGAGAGGAGGTCAGGAAGGATTGAGTAGATAGGAAGGAGTGCCGTTAACAGGGTGCAGGGAAGGGAGTAGCGTCAAATGAGGGAGAAGCATGGAAACAACAGGTCATGGGTTCAAAACTCAGCTCCACCCCCTACCATGTGTAGGATCTTAAGTAGTCACCTCCCCTCTCTGGGCTCCAGTGTCCTCGCCCGAGAAATGGTGCCAATGATAGTCCCCATCTCACGGCGCTGTCGTGAGGCTCCAAGGAGACTGTGCGCGGAAACGGTCAGCACTGAGCCTGCGCACAGTGAGTGTGTGTGAGCTGTAACCGGTTGTTGGCCAGGGAGGCCGTTCCCACGGAATCTCTTCTTCCCCCTTCGTTTCTCTGAAGCTCGTGACCCGCTGCGGCCCAGGCCAGAGAGCCCCAAGGCTGGACCTCCTGGCCCCCCAGGACCTCCCCAAATTAGCCCAGGGCAGCATGGCAGACCTGGCCTTTCGGGTGGACGCCTACAATGACATCCTGTCCTGCCTCTACGCCAGCAAGGAAGTCTGCGTGGACCCCCGGGACCCCACGGTGAGTGGAGGGGGAGGGGAGGGAGGGTGGGACATAACAAATGTTACTGCTCTGTTTTCACACGAAGAAGCCAAGGGTGAGCCGGCAGAAATCCCCTTCTGGGTGGCCTAGGGAAGCCACTTCTCCCCTCTGGACCTCACCCGGATAACTCCTCCGGCAGAGACATCCCTTCCTCTCGGAAGTCGTCCTTCAACTCCCAGGCCCCCTGTGGCTCGCTTCACAAAACGCATCCATCCATGTATGCCTCAAATATTTACTAACGGCCTTCTGTGAGCCGGGGTCTGTGCACACCGGTCCCTGCCCTGGCAGAACCCAGTCAGATTGGGGAGGAGAACCCGAACAAGAAAACAGTCAGACATATGAAATAATATAGAGTGATGGATCAGTAAGTGACTGGTGGCAAGAGGAGAGGGCTCCCTACCCTGGCCAGGGAAGTCGGTGAAGACCTCTCTAAGGCGCTGTCCGGAATGGTATGTTTACTGTGTCCCCCATTTTGAGGGCAGGGACTGTGAACAGGATACTATGTGAAGGGCACACAGTGGGTACTCAGTAAACACTAAAATATAAAATCCTAAGATTCCTATCTGGAAGAGTTCTGATGTTATTGCTCCATGTTTGCAAGAGGAAACCAAGGTCCAGCTAGGAAAAGTGGCTTGTCCAGGGTCACCCAGCAGGTGAAATTCAGACTGGAACCCGTCTCCTGCCTCCTCATGCTCTTCCCTCCAGCCCACACAGGTGGGGCAGCTAAGAAACAGTTAGACGTGAACCCTGTAATTCCATGTCCAGAGAAATCCTTACACCAGAGGGCAAGAATGTATGTGCAAAGGGTTCTTTGTAGCCTCACTTGTTATAGGAAGAGAAACAAAGTTAACCTAGGTGTCCATCAATAAGGAATTTAAAAAATAAGTCAGGTTATGCTCATAGAAAGCAGAACACTCTGAGACTGTTAAAAAGAATGGAGTTGTTCTATATGTACTGGTGAGAGGAATAAACAAGGTGTAGGGCCACATGGCTAAAATTTTCCCATCTATTCATGCTTACATGTGTAGGGAAAATGTCTGTCAGGATACACTCCAAAATGTCCACAGTGGGTACCCCTGAGAATAGGACTTAGGGAGAGGGGGGAAGAGGTGTTAGACTTTTACTTTTTACTTTATACAATTTGTTGTTTTTATAATGATTTATGGCCTTCAAAAATCAATGCAGCATAGGTAAATGGATAGAAATGTGATATACTTGCTTTAAATATAGGAAAATATTCGTAGAATCTCTATGTTCTTGCACCTTTGATGTAAGTGTGAAATTTTTCACAATAAAATGTTGGGAAAGGGAGAGATCATTGAGACAATCAAAGGCTACTCTTTCCAGTGAATGGCTCCTCCGTGCAGACTGACTGGTGTGCACGTGGTGCATTCTGTCGGGGTCAATTACATCTCATTGAACCCCAATTAACATCCCCAAAACCTGCTCGGAACAGATCTAAGGATTCAAAAGGCCAACACACATTTTTCCCTTTTTCCAGGCTGCCTACCTCATTCAGCTGTTGTCACTGAGAGGATTGGACCCCAGGCCCAAGGTGAGTGTGTTGCCAGCTCCCCCCGCCCTCACCTTCCCCAGCTCCCTGGCAAGGATCCCAGAAAAGATTCGGGGCGGGATCTGGCCTCCTTGGGCATGACCCATTTGGCCAGAGTTTCCTCCTGTGGACTCACAAAATCATTGCACTTGCTTCATGGGTGTTGTGAGAAGTAAAGGAGGTGATTCACGTAAGGCACTCAGCTCCGCGCCCACCCAGTGGCCATGGCACGTGGCTGTCATTATCCACCACCGAACAAGACACCAGCCTGCTGAGCGAGGCACAGCGAGCGGTAGCTGTGTGCCAGGCATCTCTGCCTACGTGAACATAATTCTCAGCAGACCTGCACTCTCACACATTTTCATACATCAGCAAACAGGTTTGGCATGCTGAATTCACTTGCCTAAGCTCACGTTGCTCAGTAAGTGGCAGAATCAGAATTTGAGCCCAGTCCCAGACTCCAAAATCCACGCTTAGTGTCCTCTCTCCAAAGGCTTCTGGAATAGGGCACCCGAATGGCAGCAACCACAACAACCACAATTGATAACAATAGCATTTCTGGGTGCCGGGTCCTGTTCTGAGCACTTGATATCAATGAATTCATTTTATCCCCACAATGACCTTATAGGATAGACAGGATGATTATCCTCATTTTACAAGTATGAAAACTGAGGCACAGAGAGATTAGGAAACTTGTCTCAGGCCACACAGGTTGCGGGTGGTAGATAGGACTCGAACTCCAAAAACTATGTTCGTACCTGCTATGCATGCCCGGAGAAGGAGGATGTAACCTGACCTCCAAGGAGTTCAGTGAGAGAGTAACCTTCTCGAGGTCAAACCGCAGAACTAGACAAGACACCCTGACTCCTCAGGTGGTCTCCCCCTGTTCCTCCAAGCTGGGGGCTGAGGAAAGCCATCGCCTCGGCCTGCCCACACCTTTACGCTTCGACTTCATTCTGGCTTTTGAACAGTCCCCAGGGAGAATGGGACTGGCCATCAGGACCCCTGAGCCTCCCACGGTCCACCTTGATGGTCACAGGGCCACGGTCATCCAGCAGGGCTCCCTCATGCTGCTGAGGCCCAATGGCACCCCTTCTGTCTCCGTTTTCTGGGTGAGTGAAGCCTGAACTTCTTTGTTCCCCAGGGGCCCTGGGTCCACTTGAGGGTCCCTCCCGGGCCCTGCCTGAAGCGGTATGACAAAAAACAAACAAACACACAGTGGCAAACCTCACTGCCGCATCATCAACCAGCCCATCCCCAAACAGCCTGCTGTTAAAACATGAAAATACTTTAACACCTCCTGCCTCAGGTCAGGCCCCAGTGCTCCCTGAGAACCCCCTCAGCAACTAAAGGGTTTTGCCTCCGGGATTCTCTGCTCAGTGCCCTGGAGTGGCAGCATGTTAACTGTCTGCCCTGGACATGGCTGCACCGAAAGCCCTTGTCCACAACAGAAGATCAGAGAAATGCAGTTGATGGAGGGGCTCAATGTGTCTGCACTCTCCTTCCTGAGAGAGAGGTGACCCAAGCTAGAGAGGGCCAGGCCCTGGGAAAGTACAGCTCCCCCAAGTTGCAACTTCTCTATCCTGAGCCCCCCAGGATCCCTATTTACATTCCACAGACCCTGACATTGGGGCGCTGCCTCATCTAGAGAGTCGCCCCACCTAGCCAAGCCCAGCGGCATCGGCATCGGTGTGCACAGCACGATCTTGGGATCCTAGTTGGCATGGTTCTGGGGCAAAGAAACAGTCATCCCTGGCTGAGGTGAAAGCCCTGCTTCCCATGTATACGGTGGCCATGTGAATACGGTTGTCCATAGAAACCTCCCAAACACCAAAGGGTCCTCTGGCTTCCGGAAACCTCAACCCCCAGCCAGCTGGCACCTGCAAAGGGCTTTCCACCCACTGGGCTGAGTCCCTTCCCTGTATCCATCCCCACCCCCAAAGCCTTCCCTGCCCTCCAGGAGCAGCCAGCACCCACCTGCGCCCTCTCCTGGGCAACACCAACACAGTCATAATTTGAACTCATGCAAACCAGCAGCTGGGCTGCGGGTAGGACTGGGTGAGAGGGAGCTGGCCCCAGACAGGCACTCATGGGAGGTGGACGCGAAGGGAATCACCTCTAACCAGGATGTAAATTCTTCTCCGGTTCTGACTGAATTTCACTTTGCCATAGAAACTCCTTTCCAAGGCTATGTTTTCCTCAAGAAATCAGAATTTAAAACTCCAGTTCACTCCCTACAGGTAAATTATTTTGGCGTTGGATGTTGAACAAATAAGATGACTCGCGCAGAGAGAGATGGAGGGAGGGTGTGGTTAAGGGGTACACGTGTTCATGCCTGCTGTCAGCTGAACAGAGTGGTTTATAGGAGGAGGGAGAGAGGAAGACATGGGGAGAGGGAGGACGGGAAGGAAGGAAGGAGGGAGGAGGTTGTGACTCGAACCTCACTGAGCACTGTACCCCCAGGCAGCTGCCCTGACTAAAGAGGTGATCTCTTTTCTCTGGCAGCACCATGGTCACCCTGAGCACTTACCCTGCTGGCCTCGCAAAGCAGGTGAGTCTTGCCTTGGCCTCCCTACGGTCCTGAAGGCCCACCAGCAGACCCTGAGTTGTTGATGTAGGGGATTCAAAGACTCACTCACTTTCTTTTTTTCTTTTTTTTAATATATTTTATTGATTTTTCACAGAGAGGAAGAGAGAGGGATAGAGAGTTAGAAACATCGATGAGAGAGAATCATCAATCAGCTGCCTCTTGCACACCCCCTACTGGGGATGTGCCCGCAACCAAGGTACATGCCCCTGACCGGAATCGAAGCCGGGACCTTTTAGTCCGCAGGCCGACGCTCTATCCACTGAGCCAAACCGGTCCAGGCGCAAAGACTCACTCACTTTCTATCCTTCATTTCATCTTGCCCTGGAGCCCCCATGCCCACCGGGGTGGGGGTGCACCCAGGACTTAAACTGGTCCATTTCATTCTTTCGTTCACTTAACACTGAGCATCTGTCACGTGCCCACCTTGTCTTAGGATGCATTGGTGAACAAAACAAAGGTCCCTACCCTAGCAGAACTCACATTCATAGTATATAATATATAAGGTAAATCATATATTATGTAGGCAGGTGGCAGTGCTATGGGGAAAGCAGAGGAGGGGAAGAGGTAGGTAGAGGCAATATTAAAAAGATCAGGGAAGGCCTCATTGAGAAGGTAAATGTTTGAGCAAAGATGGGAGGAGATAAGGGAAGAAGCGGTGGGAATATGGGGACAGAGGGGACCAGAGGCCCCAAGGCAGGGGTGTGCCTGATCATTCTGGAAACGGCAGGTGCCAAGGTGGCTGGAGCAGAGAGGGTGAGTAGAGGTCAGAGAGGGCAGGGCTAGGCCCATCGGGGCCTTCTAGTCAGGACCGGCTTTTACCAAGTGGCATGAAAGCCCATGGAGGAGCAGACAGAAGGGCCAGGGTGGAGGCAGGGAGGCCACCCCGCCCCCAGGCTTGCAGACTATGCAGGGGCTGCTGAGGCATGAAGCACGTGGCGGCAGTGGTGGCAGGTGCAGGATGGTCTGAAAGAGCTAGTAGAGCTGGCAGGATTTCCTGATGGGAAGGATGGGGAAGGTGAGCGGTGCATCCCGGATGGCACCAGGATTTGGAAGGGCACCTCCTTCTCTGCAGGCGGGAAACAGCCTCTCTCAGGAGAACGCTCCGTTTGCGCCTCCCGCAGGGCTGTGGGCCCCTCGCTGGGTTTCCTCACCCCGAGCCCCGCGTCCTAAGCCACGGCACCCACATAGGCAGTGTGGGGTTCTCTGTCGTGGGCTGGGCTGGCCACTCCTGTTAATGAGTCCACAGGCAGAGCGCGTGGTCTCTTCCCCCAGGGGTGGTCCCTGCTCCTGCACGGGGAGAGCTCCGCATCGCCCTGCCCGTCTGAGGGAGACCCATGCCATCCCCTCCTCCTGCCCTGGGGACATCCCATCACCCTCCACTCCCACAGGCCGGAGCCTCATGCTCTAGACTCCTCGGGAAACACTGTGAGATAGAAAAACAACAAAAGGACTGAACCTGTACAGAAAGCACTTCCACATTATCATGCCTGTTCTATCCGGTCTTGCTCCAGCCTTACTTGGGGGCTTCCTCTGGCCCAACCGTTTTTCTCTCCCGGGGCTGCCCTGAGCGATGAGACAGGCATTGGGACAGGCGGTGAAGGCTGCTTTTCCAGGCCCTCAACTTTCCCCGGTCCTTTCACTAATCTGTCCATCTGGCTCCAACGGCCTTAAAAAGTGGGGTCCCCAGAACTACTCCTGATCTCCTGTGGGTACCTATCCACTGGGGTCCCCCCTTCCAGAGGTCACAATCTGCTGACCCAGCTGAAGTGACCCTCCAGTCCTCTTTCACCTGTTGCAGAAAGAACGTCTGAAGGCCTTTGTCTCGGAGCTTCTGAGGAGGGTGTTTTTGCCCCGTCACAACGGTAAGTCTCACTGGTGTCCCCTCATGCCCACACACCATCTAGCTTGGAGAAGCATCCACAGTGCCCAAAGCTCTGCGCGTACAGCTGCCTTCTGTCTTGTTCCCTGGGGCTGGTTAAGAATCGCCCACGCACACGGCAAAAGGAGGCAGCACAGAAACCCTGAACACTGCGATGTGGTGGGTGAGGAGGGTGGGGAAGGGGCCACGTGTGCCGTCCTGTTCTTCGCCCAGGCAGTACGGTGACAGGAACTCAGATGTGGGGAGAGGAGCTGGGAAGTGCTTTCTGGGGGAGGTAGGGGTCAGCGTGGAAAGTGAAAACAGGAAGGCCCATCAGAGGCGGTGGAGCCCACAGCTCACAACACCAGCGCCTACAGGACCCAGGTGGGTTACACACGCAAAGGAAGCAGCCCAGTGAGGCCTCGGCAAACATGCCCCCCTTAAGTGGGACGCTAACTTAAGAGTCTAGTCGGGTGCCTCTTCCCCATAGAACTCATGGGTTTTCTCGCCTCCCCTGATGCAGTCTGTGTAACCATTGTCCACCCACCCCCATGATTATTTGGTCAGCGCATGCGTCCACAAACACAGAAGTGATTACTCATCTCTGATAAATTACCTGGCTCGGCCTCCTTGTCTTTCAGATAGGCCAGAGGCATTGAGTAACTTAACCAAGGTCACACAGCAAGTCTCTGACAGAGCTGAACCCAGAACCCTAGCTTCTTGCTTCCCTAACAGTGGCTCTTTTCTGTGTTCCAACTCAAGGACTCATGTTGGGCCTGCAGAGTGAGGCCAGAGGAGCAGGCAGAGGTTCAAAGGCTAGCCAGGCTGAAGACTTTGGCATCTATTCTAAGGCCCAGGGGAGGTTCTGGGCATGAAGTGAGCAATTTGTGCTCAAGAAGGAGGTGGGGAAGGATGGTGACAAGGCAGTCAGAGAAAGTGCAGGTAGGCAAGGATGCAACCTGACCTGGGATAAGGCAAAAGATGAAGGAGAAAGCCTCACCCCCATACCCGTTTTGCTAGTACCTATCACAGGAAGCTCATTCAACAAATGTATCTTAGATCCTGGCCAATAGGAAGGGTGGTGTGCCTCAACAGGTAAATGGATAACGAAGATGCAGTACACACACACACACACACACACACACGCATGCACACTCACACACACGCATGCACACATACACATATATACACACACATGCACACACGCACAGATACATACACACACATACACACACACATACACATATATATACACACATGCACACATACACATACACACAAGCGCACACACACACATTATTCAGCCATAAAAATTTAAAAAAAGAATGAAATCTTGCCATTTGAGACAACATGAATGGGGTTTCAGGATATTATACTTAGTGAAATAGTCAGATAGAGAAAGACAAATACTGTATGTTTTTACTTACATGTGAAATATTACAAAAAGCAAATAAACAATAAAGAGACAAACTCATAGATACAGAGAATAAGCTGATGGATGCCAGATAAGGGGGCAGACTGTAATGGGAGAAAATGGTGAAGGGGATTAAGAGATGCAAACTTCCAGTTATAAAATACATAATCCATAGAAGTGTGAAGTACGGCACAGGGAATATAGTCAATAATACTGTAATAACTTTGTATAGTAACAGATGGGTACTAGACTTATCACGGTGATCACTTCTTAGTGTCAAATCATTATGTATACACCTGGAACTAATATAATATTATGTGGAAACTATATTTTTGGAAAAGATCAGAGGATAGATGGAAGACCAGAGGTACTATCCCTCTTCCTCTATCCCAACCCCCACCTAACTGGACCAAATACCACATTAGGCCAGCAAGAGGTATTAGATCCTCCCCTGAGCCCAGAGTGCCGATGGGTGGATGAGGTGGGGTGAGGGTTGGTCAGTGCAGAGGACAGGGGAAAAGGGGCATATGTCAAGTTTGCCAAAGCTCAGTGTGTCAAAAATCAACCAGCCAAATGATGAATTCATTGAAATTCAATCTGAAAACTGACCATATTCAAGTTCACCACATTTACCAATTCGCCAAAAACTTTCTTGAAGAACTATTTTTTATATATTTAATAATGCAATATATTCATGGATATTTTCTTTTTCATTTATTGTGTATGTGTTAATCCTTACCTGAGAATATTCTTTCCATTGATTTTTAAAGAAAAAGTGGAAGGGAGGGATGGAAAGTGAGAGAGGAAGCACCGAGACAGAGAGAAACATTGATGTGCACCACACATGCCCTGATTGGGTCCAACACTCTAACAACACCAGCCAGGGCTTCATTGGATATTTTCTTATTAATATAATCAAATTTCTAGTGTTTTAAAGTTAATTTTTCAATTTATCCTGACTTTTTTTTTTCCTAATCCTTTTCTGAGATATTTCCTATTTCTGCCAAGATTTTAGCATTTTTCAGGCACGTATCGCATTTTTCAACCATTTCTCACAATTAAACAGGAACAATAAAATTCATTGATACAATCATCAGAAGACTCCAACATAATGAACATTCCTTAAAATTGTGCTAAGAAGAATAACTTTGTAAGAAGGCATCTATAGTTACTGAATATGTCTGAGAGAAGTTTCTGTAAAACAGGATGTTAATAAATGGGTGGGCATTAGAGAGGCCTGGCCTTCTGGAGGGGCTGTCTGAAGGGGGATGGAGATGCTGCTCCCTGAGGAAGGGAAGGGGGCACATCAGTCCCGCCCCTGCCCTGGGCATAGGAGCAGCCAGGGGTCCGCTGGCTGGCCCTCACTGCCCAGCCTGCACACAGGACTGAGCGCCTTACCCGTCCCGTTCACAGAGCTGCTAGGAGAACAACACCTCCCGTTGCCCAGCATCAAGGGCATCTCCTTCAACAAGGCCTGCATGGAGTTCTCTGAGGTAAATGCTGGGAAAAGAAGCTTCTGGAGGCACAATAGGAAGTCAGAGCTAGAAGGGCCTTAGCGTCGCCGTGGTCCCTGACCTGCTGAGGCAGAAGCTGGGGCCTGGGCATAGAAGGCCCTACATGTGGCAAGCCCTTCCCCTTCCTTAACTCACTGTCTCCCACAGCCATCCTGGGGGTGACGCCCCCTTTACAGGTGGGAAGACTGAGGCTCCGAGGGGCTGCATGCATTCCTCAGGGGACCAGACCGTAGGCTCACTGAGAGGCTCAATGCCTTACCCAGGCGGTCGTCACCATTAGTTGCATGAAGTTGATGCTGTGACTTGTCCCATCTTACAGACAAGCGAGTCAGGGCTCAGAGAAGCAAAATCCCGGCACGGCCACAGCGGCTGTCTCACGTCAGAGCCACTCCTCTAGAGGCAAAGGAATAGGTGGTGGTGGGCTCATTGGCTCACACACTTCTAAGCCGCCTCGCACGTTGTGCCAGGTGCACAACTGCAGCGTGTATCACTCATCCTGTCGTTTCCATGAGTGGCACCACCTAGAAGTGGGCAGTGCACAATCTGTGCCTCCTTCCCTGGCTTCCCTGCTCACACACTCATTCACTACCACTCATGCAGCCAGGCAATATACGGCACTAGCTGCTCTGTGCCTGGCCTGTGCTGAGTGATGCTGGGACAAAGAGGCGAGTTAGACCCAGTCCCTGACCCCCCGAAATCTCCCGCTCTGGGGGGGAAGAAGGTACAGGCAGGAGCGCTTGGATTCCAGCAGCGTGGACGGGCCCAGCAGAGGCATGGGCACGGTGGGTGGGAGCAAGTGGAAGGCTCTAGCCCGGTGATAGGTCCACGTCAGGGTGACCCGCCGGGATGAACCCCAATGCCTCAGAGACATTAGAAGCCCTTGATACTTAGGCTTTCAGGAAGAGCCCTGAAGACCAGCCTGTTCCCTCCCTCACTGACATTTCCAAGACCCTCCTTGCCCTCCACTAATCACCATATCCAGTTAGTCCCTGACTCTGTCTTCTTGCCACGGGGGAATGGTGTGCTCATAGGACTCACCCCCTCTCAGGAGAGGCAGGCGCAGCCTCGGGGAGAGGAGAGCTGGTTTGGTAAGATGGATGTCCACATCGCTGCTTCTACCCACAGGATTACATGCTGCTGACCATTCCAGAGGAATAGGTTCTTGCAGAGGATCCCTCCATTCAGCCACACGTGCTCCAGACCCTGGAGACTCCAAGAACGGCTACAGTCACAGTGGAAAATCTCAGTTGCAATAAAGATGACTTGCTTGAGAAAGAGTCTGGTTCTGAGTTTGCCAAGAGGTTCTGGAAGGTGGCGAGGCCATCTTGAAATGCTTAAAGAAAGGGTTTTCTGCCTGATCGTTCCTGCTTCCCCTGGCCCCTCAGAGGACATTATGATTTCAGTGCTCGGTTTCTCAGAGAAGAGAGGGTTCCCCAGAAAACGGACTAAGAGCCTGAGTTTCCCAAGTCCAGGCCCTGAGAGGATGAGGTATAGAAAGACACACAGAAAATCTACACATGCGGGAAAGGTGCCCTAGTCAGGATAAAGGATGGGAGCAGGGAAGAGAAGGTTTGGGGTCCCTAAGAAAACAAGGACTGTGAAGCCCTAAGGTATTTGGGAGGCCTTGAGTATGGAGGAAAGAGGCAAAGGAAAGCAGCCAGACCACCCAAGAGGGAAGTGAGGTGACTGTGAGATACTGAACCTCACAGCTGCACCTCAGAACTGCCCTGAGCCTGCAAGGTGAGCAGGCAGCAGCGGAGTTCTCATGTGCCCAACAGCAGTGCCTGTGCCCTCCCTCCTCACCATCGTCCCAGTTCCGTGTGGCCCCGGCAGGTCAGGGCTGTGAGCAGAGAAGGGCAGGAACCAGAGGGCTGTGCAGTCAGATGAAAACAGCCCCATGGTTGCCAAGTGTGGGGAGATGGCAAAGCTTGGAGAGATAGGCAGCAGCCAAAGCCGATAATAAGTGAAGCCTGGCCCCAGAAAAAGGCGGGTGAGGAGAAACAGGATTGTCCTAAAATCCCCACCACAGAAAGAGTGGCAGCTTATGATGGACTCTGCCTCAGGAATGAACTAGTGTCCGGCTCCCTCGGTAACCCCAGCTGGCCTTGGGGAAATGGAAGAGTTATAGGCAAAGCCCTCCTAAGCGCCAGTTTTCCACCATGGAGCCCACACCACGGAGGGGCACCCAAGGATTGGTGCAGAGACCCTGTCCTGTAGGAGGAGGTTGGCGTTCAGAGTAAATGATGGTGTAGATTCATTACTTGACTCAGGACCGGTTTTTAAATATGAGCCACAGGCTGAAACCGGTTTGGTTCAGTGGACAGAGCGTTAGCCTGCGGACTGCAAGGTCCCAGGTTCGATTCTGGTCAAGGGCATGTACCTTGGTTGCGGGCACATCCCCGGTAGAGGGTGTGCAGGAGGCAGCTGATCGATGTTTCTAACTCTCTATCCTTCTCCCTTTCTCTCCATAAAAAATCAATAAAATATATTAAAGAAAAAATAAATAAATAAATAAGTAAATAAATAAATAAATATGAACCACAGGCCCTGCATTGAAGAAAAAATATCCCCAACCAGCAGCCCCCAAGGGGGTCTCTGAGCTAGAGGGTAGGACAGCCCTGCATGTTGGCCTTGCAAAGTCTCTATATCTGCCTTCAAACTGGTAAAAGCACTGGAAAGGATATGTTTTGAGGGTAAAGAAGCATAAACAAAACATTGTATTTTCTTGTTGGAAACAAGGTATAATAGTTGCCAAAATCTGGGTACACCATATTGATACGGAAATGGTATAAAATCTGAGAGAAAGGTACAAAACAATTGAAAATACCTGACCCAATGGTAGGTAATATTAATGATGATGACAGTAAATTATAGAATACTCACATATGCCAAACATATGTTAATTGCTTTAATCATCATGACAACCCTATGATAGGGACAATATTATCTACTAGAGTCCTGGTGCATGAAATTCATGCATGGAGCAGGGTCCCCTCAGCCCAGACTACACCCTCTCCAATGTGGGGCCCCACAGGGGATGTCCGACTGTGGGTTTAGGCCTGATCCACTGGCAGTCAGACATCCCTCTCACAATCCGGGACCACTGGCTCCTAACTGCTCACCTCTCTGCCTGCCTGATCACCCCTAACTGTCCTCCCTGCAGGTCTGGTCACCCCCAACTGCCCCCTCTGCCAGCTGGTAGCTCCTAACTTCCCCCCCACCAGCCTGGTCACCCCCAACTGCCCCCCAGCCAGCCTGGTTGCCCCACGCAGCCTGCTGCTCAGTCATTTGGTTGGCCTTCACTGACCCTCCTGCCAGCCTAGTCGCTCCATACAGCCTGTTCGGTCATCCGTTTGGTTGTTTCAGTTATGACTGTCACTTATATACTTTATGGATGAGGAAACTAAAAAAGAGAAAATTATTAGATAATGTTCCAAGGCCCCACACATTGAACCAAGATTTACGCACACATCTGTCTGGCCCCAAATCCTGCACAGAGAAACTCTGTCTTCCCCAAAACACCGGCTCATCACCTTTAATAAAACACAAGGCTCCTTTAAATCTCATGAGAGAAAGATAAATATCATATGATTTCACTCATTTGTGGAATATAATGAACAACATAAACTAATGAACAAAAATAGATCCAGAGACACAGAAGCATTGAATAGACTGTCCAACCTATGAGGAAGGCAAGGGGTGAAGGGGAAAGAGATCAACCAAAGAACTTGTATACATGCATATGAGCAAAACCAATGGACACAGATGGGGGAAGGGGAGAAATGTGCTGGGGAATGAGGGCGGCTGGGGAGAGGTCAATGGGGGGGAAAGGAGACTTATGTAATACTATGAACAATAAAGAATTTAATTTTTTAACAATCTTATGAGAGATGTGTAACCTTAGAAATAAAAATTAACCCAAAGTTTACACAAAACTCCAGAGAAATTGGGAACACAGATTTATTTGCTGCTAGAGGCTCTGTGAACTCCTAATACCAACAAAGATCTGAGACTGATTACACCAGAGAAGAAAACCAAAGCAGGAGTACTGAAAAGACTGCTGAGGGACCTGGAGAGTCACAGACAAACATATACACAGGCAAAGTACAAATGTGTACACACATGTGTGCATTTCACTAAACAAAAAAAAACACCAAAAAAAGGTCAAAACTCTGATGCCTCTGTCACCAGGACACCCCCGGATCAGCTGGGCCTATGGTGACACCTTCACCCACAGGCAATTTAGAACTGGTATCTGGCCAAAACTGGTTTGGCTCAGTGGATAGAGCGTCAGCCTGCAGACTGAAAGGTCCTGGGTTCGATTCCGGTTAAGGGCATGTACTTTGGTTTCGGCCACATCCCAGGTAGGGGGTGTGCAGGAGGCAGCTGATCGATGATTCTCTATCATCAATGTTTCTAACTCTCTATCCCACTCTTCCTCTCTGTAAAAAATCAATAATATATATATATATTTTTATTTTTATTTTTTTTTAAAGAACTGGTATCTGCATTATCACCAGCAGCTGTGATTCCGCCAAGCCTGGGCCAGCCTTGAAAGGACCTTCCCTTTCAAGAGTCAGCAGGTCAAATCATTTAGCACTTAGGGACTTGACAGTAAGGGAGCCCTAGTGCTCAGCCTGCTAAGCCTCCTTCAGAGAAGCCGCTCAGGTGGGTCCTGGATTAGCAGAAGTTAAGGGCTGCCCCACCTCCTGGGGCTGAGGAGAAAGAAAGACAAGGAACCAGGAAGCCCAATGGGGCCTTCAAAGGCTGCATCCCGGATGTGTCCCTCCCCATGTCTGGAGAAGGGTTCATTCCTTGGGTCCAGAGAAACCATTAGCAAAACCAACGGCCACACCCACTAGTGGGTGTCATGAATTTCAACTAAAGAATCACTCACTTTCTCTCAAATGTCCAAGAAAAATAAGATCCAGGACAGTTGGGTTTTATCCTCCTTATCATCATTTGTAAAACCCATGGTCTTAGTCTCTTGGAAAAGGTCAACTATTGTTTGTTCTATGCATCTGACATTTCAGCAAATCCCAAAATGGGGCCCTTGGCAACCAGAACTGCACTTGAGGTCCACAGTTTGAGAACTGCAGTGGGGTTGGCAAGGGCCAGGCAGCAAGCATGCTGAGCCTGCTTGAAGGCAGGAACCCAAACCAATGCCCCCACTTCAAGTGAGCAGAAGCAGACATTAGCCACACTCTCTGTCAAAATCATCTCCCTCTCCCACACTCTTGCTGTGATACACCACACAGCAAGGCGGTGGCAGGATGCACAAAATCCTAGGGGCAGGAACTGAACAGATGGCTGAGAACAACCTCTGAAATAGAGGAAAGCCTGAGGCCCAGAGAAGGGCCTCTAGAATTTGGGGAGCCATTAAATAAGGAACAGGTGAGAGGAGGCCTCATGTGGAGATTGAGATTTGAAAGCAATGAAAGGACAGCAGACATCTGAAAACATTTCACCCTCATTCCAGAGGCACTCTGGGAAAGGAACGGGGGCTGAGCCATTTATGTAACAGCCATGCTTACAATCCCCAGGCCTGCATTCAGGCCCTCGCCCACTTCAGACACTGTGTACTTTCCAATCCGCCTGCATCCATCACTTTATTCCTAAATCTTAGTATGTTTGGATTCTTCCCATCGCACAGACCTGATATAAAATGTCACTTAACAGAGAGATACCCTGTCCAGAGGGACCCCATGCCCTCTCCCGCAAGTCCCCATTCTTCAGTCAGTCACTCAATGCTGAATGCCAACCTCGGACAGGATACAGCACTGGCACCTTTTCTAAAGAGCTCTCAGTAAGTTGCCATCTGTTCTCTGCCATTCAACCACCACCCACATGACTCAGGGATAATAGGCCTTTGAAGATTTAAAATATGGAAGAGTAAGTACCTGGTCGGGCTCACCTCTCTGAAAATTTTCCAGACACCATGAACATCTCTGAGAAAGGCAATGACAAATGTCACAACCATTAGCAGGTGCTGATCTTGGAAATCAGCCTGTATCACGCCTCCCTTATCAGCACACTTGAATGGCGTCCCTTCATGTCTGATCACTCGCCCTGGAGACGTAGGTCTATAAATGTGGGGTACACCTTTCCGTCTGACAGTCCCAGCAATAGCAGGAGGACAGGCAGCTTCCGGAACAGATCTCCCGTCAACACGGACTCATCGACACTGGGCAAGGTAAGAACTCTAAATCAAGTTCACAAAAGAACGGGTCGAATTTCAGAGGCAGAAACAAGCTAG